AGCAGTCTCTGTTTTCTCTCGCATAAGGTACGACAGTACTCATACTGCAACTTTTGAAGTCCATTCTAGGCGTATCAAACATGTGAATTGTCTAATCCTTATCAATTCTTCAGACCAGCAGCTCTACAGGCCCCTGTTCTGCCGCGTCGTGAGATAACCAACCAATCATCTCACGTCCTCACCGGAAAAATTATTTATCCTCCCGAATTCCCGACCCACTCTCTTCCCTCAAAAACAGAAGGCGGTGAGAACCAAATAAACACTAGCCCTGTCCAGGCAGGTGCGTGCACGTGATTACGTGAGGATTCATAGTAGCTTAGAGGAGCTTCGACTGCGGCTCACCATGGAGCAATCAGCTCAAAACCCTATGCAGGGGTTACCTCATGGGAATTCCTCACTTCCTTCAGATTATTGGAGCACGCTTGATCCCACCTACCCCGATCCCGAGCAGCAGCTTCAGCAGCCGTCCCAACACCAACACCAACACCAACCTCAACAGCAGCACGATTCTGCATCGCAACAAACACCACTAGGTATTGGATGGGACCATCCTGTTTTTCAACAGCAACAGAGAGAGCTAGCCCCACGACCGGAGCCAAATCATGGGATCTACTCATCAGTGCACCAGCCTTGGCAGCAAACAAACCCTCTGCAACAGCCACCACAACGAGGATATGGGGCTTCGCCCCAGTATCAGATACATTCACAGAATCCTCATTTCCAGCAAGGACAGATACCATTTGACTCTCGTCCCCTGAGTGCCTCTGAATCTTCGGCATTTCCATCATTTCCCTACCAGCAAAATTACTTCCACCCTCAACACCCCCACATTTCAGTATCAGACACTTTCCCCGAAGCAACTACGCAACAAAGAATACAGCCACAGCCACATCAACAACCCCAGCCATCAATTTCTCCATACCCTTTACCTCAAGGCTACTCCTCAGAAATGCTCGTAAGTCGATCTGAATTGCCCTTCATGGTGACTCTGGCTCTAACTATAGGCAGCAAAACACAATTGATTTGACCAACGATTACCCTGACTCGGACCCAAATGTCACCATTAACCCTCAGTTCCTAAATTCCACCCCGCAGGCATTCAACCAACAGCAGTCTTCGTTGGCAAGCAACTTCCTTCAGGGAATTCCTGCAGACTTCCAACGACAAGGGAGTGAACAGTAAGTTTATGACTTTGGTTTATGTTTGTTCAAAGCATTGGCTGATTTTCTGAAGGACTAGGCTATTCAATTACTACCAGCATGATCTTTCAGTTCAGCCGCAAATGACACCAACTGGCAACTCAGTGCTTCCGCCTAGAGGTATGCCTAGACCAGTTGAAATCCATTACATTGCGATCAATACTGACTTTCATAGGACCACCAGTACCGCAAGTTGTAATCACGAATAAGAAGGGAGCCTATAACAACCAGAAAACAAAGAAGCCTTCTGCACAAGACCAAACGAGAACTATCTCTAACTCGGAAAGTGAAAGTTCGGATGAATCTGATCTTGAGATTGAAGCACCTGACGAGCCGTCTCCTATTCCTCCGATCCGCCCGACTGAGCCTGAGGCTGCAGCACAGTATGATACCCTCCAAGCCGTGTGGTCACCAAGGAACAAATGGCCTGGTCCTGAGAAGGTCAAGAATGCGCTGGTAGCCTACAAAGACGTTGTCAAATCATTGAGAGATGCGTGGAAGGAACAAGTTCAGGCTATGAAACTAGCCGAGAACCAAGACGACAACCAGAAAGCAACAATGCTCAAGGAAAAGGTCATTTCGCAACGTCGCACTATGGATAAAATTGCCACCACAACACTGGAAATGGGTCATCCCAATATTGTTGAGAAGTATGTATCCCTCTCCCCTCCCACCTATGCCCCCCCCCTTTTATCTGGCTGTGATGGTCACACAAACCCTGAATCTATTTGAGAACACCTATAAATATTCTTGGGAGCATTGGATATGACAGCACTGTCACGGGCTAGAATAAAGGGCCATCGCTCTATTCGCCGGTGGCAAGGCTTGATTATAGATGCGTGTTTTGGGCACATATAAGAATACTAGATGGAGCAAAAGGGTCCCAATCATACTGAGTCTCAGATATCCCCCTAGGAAGCTACCTGTGAGCCTCATTGAGGGGGATCACTCCTATCTAGAAATTGGCTCAAACTTACAGCTTTGTGTGGCAAAAACTTGAAACATTGACATAATCGAGCTCAAATGACTGATTGTTAATTTCATGTAGGCTGGGAGAGCACCCTATGGTTGTGGCAGCTCTATATTCCTTCTTGGTCGACCGTTTCCAGGCAGCAGACTTTGCTGGGACTCTGACTATTAACTTGCTAACGGTAAGTTTGACCTTGGTCTTCCTTTTATGTCGAATAAATTGACTAACATGGAATAAGCTCTTCTCGCGTTTCTCATCTTTAACGGAAGACATGATGCAGAAGACTAATCTTTCTAAATTGCTGCCCAAGTTTCTCAAAAAAGGCGACCAGCAGGTTAAGGATCTCACACAGAAGATCCTAGATAATGCCGCGGCCTCTACGAAGCGTAAGCAGGAGAGTGAAAAGCCCGCTAAAGAAGAGTCGACTCCAAGAGCTTCTTCAGCAGATCAACCTAAGGGAGACGCTGGAGTGAAGCGACCCCGTGAGGCGGATAGCAATCTGCAACCTGGCGCAAAACAAAGGGCAGTAACCAGCAACTTGAAGGATGTGAATAAACTTGCATCTACAGGCAATGGACAGGCTAAGGGAACACAAAGTAGTAAGCCAACCGGCGCTGCAGTTCTGCGCCCTAAACCCAATATCGTGGCCCCCAAGCCGACAAGTCTCTTTGGCACTTTAAGCTCAGCGTCAAAGAGACCCGGGACCACAAATGCGGATAGGGCTGCCGCCGCTGCCGCAGCAAAGCCAACGTATGTACCCACGAAGAGAGTATTTCCGAGATTCATCTGTATTAACATTTCAAATAGTGCTGCTTCCGAAAAGGAGAAGACACCAACCCCAAAGCCGTCTTTCTCTTTTGGTGACATTATGGCCGACTTGAACAAGCCAAAGCAGGCACCAACTCCCAAGCCGGTCGAAGACCAGCCCCCAGAGACTGAAGCTGAGCGCAAAAAGAGGTTACGTAAAGAAGAGCGCCGTAAACTTCGCGTGACCTGGAAGCCGGATGATGCTCTTACCGAAGTTCGACTATTCACCCATGATCCCGATGAAGAATTAGGCCCCGGCGATGGGTCATTACGTTCACGAGGAGACGTTAAAGGCGAAGGTAGCGTTCTTAAGCTTCATAAAGATATGGAGGAGCTAGAAGAAGAGGACCTTGGTGGTATCCGTGAGACCGTATTCCAAGATGGTTATACTTTTTCCAGTAGGTTATCCCCCCAACTATACCTCAAATTCTTATTGACCATCACAGTGATCGATTTCGATTTCGAGGAATCAAAAGACGGCAGTTTCATCAAACGCGGTGGCCCCCAGCTGCCAACGAGTCCCGAGAGGGAGGCTCAGGAGCATCGGGAATCTACTACCCTTATGGTCTTCTATACTTCTCCTGCCGACATGCCTGACACACCCAAGGAGCCACCGACTCCGGATCCCGACGAGATTGTTACCGAGGTATTGCCGTTTGGAGAGTTTCCCGACATGGTCAAGGTATGTCATACTTCTGATAGCAGTAAAACTCGACACTAACAAAAAAATTGCAGGCCCGCCAGGAACGTTATTACTCCTATATTAACCCCAAGCCTGCGGCTCCTCAACAAACCCAGCAACTGCAACAACCTACTCCCGGGGATAGTGGATTTGATATCTCCAATCTGCTCAAGATCATCCAGGGTGTGCCTGGACAGGCGCAGCCAATCCCGCTGCCACAAGCAACTCAACCCGGAGTCATGCCGGATCTCGAGAGGACCATCAACATGTTCCGTCAGCAACAACCTCAATCCCAGGTTCCCCCTCCACCAGTACCCACTTCTCAGCCCCAAGGCCTTGACTTCAACGCGATCTTGAACGTTATGAAACAAATGCAGGGGCCGCCTGCCTACTCCCAACCTCAGCAATCGCAATCAGCAATGGCACCCAACCTTGGCGCCATGATCGCACAATTCGGTGGGCAGAACCAACAAGTTGGTGCTCTTCCGTTCCAACAGCAAGGCTATGACTATGAAGACCCAGAGCGCAAGCGAGGCCGCGAGGGCAGTTATTATGACGACCAGTCCAACTCCGATTCATGGAGCCGCTCGAAACGAACCAGAGTTGGCACCAACGAGGCCAAGCCTGTAAGTGCACTACGGGGTCGGCATTTCATGATAAACAGTTAGCTAACTTTCAAAACAGTACAAGGTGGGACTCGTTGCTTGCAGATTCTGGGCCGAGGGCAAGTGTCGCAAAGGCGACAACTGCACTTTCCGCCACGATCCCCTCTAAATCACACGCCACATCTATCGTCACATAGTTCCTTTTCGACTAATACCCTTGTACTGCTGTTCTCTACATTGGTACAATCTCCCTTTCTCCTATCTATGCATTAATACCTTCATGGTTTCTTCCCTATCTTGTACTGGGTCATGGATATGCATTTTACGACAATTCTCTGGTTGGCGTTCATCGCACGGTTGCGTTTCATGGTCTGGGAGGTTAGCACATATCGATTCGTCCCCTGATTTTCAGAATCCTTTGCATGCCCCCCTGGGCTCAGGCGTTTTATTTTTTCTTTCTGTCTCGCCTTTGTTTCTCGCTTCGCGGATGCATTTAGTGAGGGGTCCCACACATGGGGGCTAATATCATGGCGCATGGATTGAGGACGATGACATAAATGTACAATTAGGATATCTTTATTTTTCACAGCCAAGAAATATCTTCAGCGTAATGATCTCTTTCATTTCTTTCTCTTAATGGTAGCATAAACTTCGGACTAATGATATAGGTCTCCCCGAGGCTGATTTTCATAAAACCCCTGGGCCGCTTAAATCGGAACTAATGGGAAACATCTACAATGGATTCATCTCAGTCCCTACGAGAAGCCTGTGATTCTCCAGATTCCCTTTTCGCCCGTTCGGACGAGGTACTGATTCGCCTTGCGTACAACGAGTTTCCAGAGGAAATTGACTATCTGCGGTGGGCATACTCCATCCGGGACGGTCCCTTGACCCCTCCTAGCACTCCATCTCCATCTTGCATTTTATACAATGAAGAGTATGATGAAGTGAATCGTACGCTTGTGGGGTTATTAGCACTCCGCTGGATCCATACGGATCAATACGAGACCTTCATCGGTTCACAAACATTCGCATCTCAACTAACGAGAGAGTCGTTTGACTGGATCCGCGATTTCTACACACAAATCATCACAGATGCGAATGCACTCTTTACCTTGATCACCTCAATAATCATCAATGATCTAGGAAAAGATCCGCACCTAGCATCCATGTGCTACGAAAAGACTGGTGTGAACGTCTCTACTCTCAACCACGACGCCATTCTCCTCGCGGCCTGTAAGGCCGGCCTAGTCCCATCGCTGGACAAGCTTCCAGACCAAGATAGAGACGATGTGTTCCAGGCGATTGAGCTCGGCGCAACTTTCAATTTTGGTCAACTGGCACAGGCAGAAAATGCACCGGCCTGTCTGTCCGGTCTACCCCGCATGAAAGTCCACGACCGCAGCTTCCGACTACGTTTCATGGAGCAACTGCTCGACATCGCCGGTGCGGCGGGCCACATGGACTGGACGTGTGCGAAGAAGCTCATCCAGCCTATCTTCGACTCGTACCGCAATGTCTATGATGTATGCGAGGGTGTCATCAAGGGCACTCTTACCGTCCGCAGTGGGTATGACTTGATATTGATTCGACGTGCAGAGTTTCTCCGCGATAGGGATGTGCGATCATTCAACGTGGAAGATAATCCAGAGGACCGAGCGTTGATGCGGTTGTTCTGTATGGGCAATGTGACTACCCAAGAAAAGGCGGTCTTGTATGAGGATGCGTGGCGTGCGCTGGAGGACCCGGTCAGGGAAACTCTGGCAAATGCTCTCAATCTAGACGGCCGGAGGAACGAGCCTGCTGTTCAGCCAACATATATCCCTGCTCTATTTGGCCGTATACAGGATGTGAATGCGCTGGTGTGTACCCTGCATTACCTTTCCCGGGTTATGAGTGCGACGAATGTTGCAGACCCTTCGGCGGTGGTTATTGAGCGGAGCGTGTATTCGGTCTTGAAGGACTTTGTTGAGAGTGATGGGTTCCAGGAAGATCCGACTATCTTGGAGGGGGTCGACGTGCCTGTTGGCGTGGTTGCTTTGACCACAGCCTCGCTTTGATGTGTCTTGTAGTTGATCATCAACAATTGAATAATTAGATTGAATGTTACTATTTTCGAGCTCAATTTCTAGTGTCCACACCGATTTTCTCAGAGAAGTCAGTTGACGAGGCCGTGTAGGCCAGGCGACCATTGAAGTCACCGTAGATGGGGGTTTCAATGTCATGCAGCGACATCGTGCCTTCGAACCCGATAAGATGGCTGGAGCACCTCAAGACCACCATGTCTACCTACCCCGAGGAGTATATGGATTGGCCCAAGTTGGAGCAACAGAATCACCTTACTGTAGGCAATGGAAAATAGATCGCTCAACAATGGACCAGATAAGCAGGCTCGTCAGACGTGAAATCTGCTCCCACTGCAAAACAGAAGCAGCCCGCAACTCGGCAGGACTTACTTGCTTGGCTAGATTTGATGACGGAGGAAGACACAGAGCTGATGGCTTGGGGCCTCATACCACACAACCAGAAATGGAAAGATGCATGTTCAGAGAAAAAAGAAACCCACCGGAGGAGACTAAGGATAAAAGAATTGGAATTCGCCCACTGATGGGATGTGAAGATTGATGTCCAAAGAATTGTGGAAAGTCAACATCCTTTACCGCCCTTCTCTTACACAACCGACTTTAGAAGCTGAAGTTGTTCACCAACGTTCATTTACTAGCATCAGCTTGAACTGCGGTAAATCCCAAACAATTCGCTTGATCTACCAAAATCCATCAACATGACCTCTAAGTCAGACATCAATTTTGCTACATACAATCACCTCATTGTTGTCTGCTGCCATGCCATTTACACCGGAGGTTCACATCTGGGAGCCTCAGAGAACGAGTGGTTAGTGGGATCAGAATAAGCTCTTTATATGGATGATAGCATCTGATGCACCGAGCAGGCTGATTGAGCCCTTCCAAAAAAGAGAAACACCCACATTTATCGATCATGTCAAAGCCGGATTGAAAGCTCTAGCAGAAGACTCCCATAGCTTGCTTGTGTTCTCTGGGTAAGAGTTTATCATTATATTCCTTTCAGGTTTTTTTTGTTAATCCATCGCATAGCGGGCCAACCAAGAAGCCTAGAACTGAGCTCAGCGAAGGTCAATCTTACCTTGTAAGGCACCCGAACTCCCTACAATCGATCACCCAGAAAGCTCATGTGTAGCAATATCCAGAATCTGGCCAGAGATAACAACTACTTTCAAAACATGTCCACTATCTCTACAATTGACCCATCGAGAGTCATCGCAGAAACCAACGCCACAGATTCATATCAAAACCTACTGTTCTCTTTAATACAGTTCCGGGTATACACAGGCGTTTATCCACAGACAGTCACAATCGTGACGCATGAGTTTAAACGCGCTCGATTCATGCAATGTCACTTTCCAGCTGTGGGTCTTGTGCCTATTGGTCCGGAGCAAGAATATTATACGCACAAAGCCGCTGTGATAGGTATCAATCCACCAGCGGAAGTCACTCCACCAGAAACCTTGACTCAAGGCGAGGCTATGAATGGGATTGGGCTTTGGAAGGAAGATCTCTACGGAGTGAACCCGGACCTGGTAGGAAAAAGGGTGAGACGAGGCTGGTCCACTGGAATGGAGCACGATGTGTTCTTCGATCTGGGACTGGAAAATGTGGTGTTGGATCTACTCCGCTATGATGGAGGTGATCATTGCAATAAGTGGTTCCCGAAGCGAGAGAGGTTGCCTTGGTCTTATACCAGACATAGTACAACCAAGGGGCATTGATTTTGATTGATATCAACAGTTCTGATATGATATGGGGAAGAAGTCCTTGATCCTTTCCTGAAACGCCAATCCATAGTATCCTTCGTATTTGGTCATAATGTGCCACCGAGAGCTTAATCCGCCAGCCGGTAGCTGACCAGAGTCCCAACTCGGTGATTGTTTGTGCTGAAGCTCCTTAGTTGGACCTTCTCTGCATTCTTGATTTCCTTGGCATCGCTGTCGCCCCATTCCACGGGCACGTCTGAATCGGCGTCGGCATAGACAAGTACATTGAAGGTGCAGTCGCCATCAAGGACGGGGAGGAAGGTGACAGAGGCCGTAATTTGGCGAAAGATGGCTTGGATCTCCTCCTGAATTTGCTTTTCTGTCTTCTCAATGGGTTCGGAGGGTTTTGCATCTCTTTAAGACACAAAGATGTTGGATTAGTGGGATGATCAATATAGTCTCACAGTGAACAGACTTACCCCGATGCACTGTTCTCTTTATCGCTGGCTCTCTGTGAGCTCTTGCTTTTGGATTGCTTGCTGAAGATTTCGATCTATTCCGTCACCTTATAGTTAGCCACAGACTCAGATAAGAGTGTCGAATGCATACGTCAAATTGCCATCTCTCCACATGTTCACCGGTCTCCTTGCTCGTGATAACCACCACAAGCTTCGAGATCTTTCCTCCTTGCATCCATTCCTTCAACTGGGACATGATCTTCTTGATGTAGGCTTTGACCTGGTCGTCGGCCGAAACTGCTATGAGGTTAGGGTTGTTGACGCTGATTAAGAAGAACACGGTTCACGAACCCAGCATATTGAGGCCATATTTTTTAATCCTATCGCCAATTAGCTCGCTGTACGGTAGTGGACAAAGTTGAGAGGGCATACTTACGTTGTGAAATCCTCGGGAGGATAGACTCCTCGTTGGAAACTGAACACCCAATGCGATCAGCCAGTGCCTTGGACTGAGTACGAGTAGCAACTTACAGGATTGAATTAATCGAGTATTCAAACTGAGCCTGTTAGTACTGGAACATCATTGACGTAACTAAAATGGCAACTCACGAATTCGGAGACAAGCTTGGCCGATCCTGTTATCTTGTAAGCTTTTGTACAGCCACAACTACATAAGTAGACGATGAGTATGAACCTTTGATTGATAGCTTGTGCACCTTTGACTTTTCCTTGGGTTCCGGCATGACGAGCTTGTAGATGCTTTGAAGTTGAAAGAAAGATAGAGCTTTGTTTATGTCGAGTGGTCGCCGCAGCAATAAAAAGTCACCGCCCGCGCGTCCGTTTTTTCTCCGCAAATCGTGACTAGACTAACCAGCACTGAAGCGCTAATTGCCCCGCGGATATACTTTGATTCGACGCTTGCATATAATCAGCCCCTCCTATGCCACCGCAGATTTCCCAATGCGAGGATGTCTGCAGTTAGGCCGATGGCTGAGCGCAGCGCCGAGATGCCAGGCCGCGAGCCTCCGACCACCAACTGTCTTTTCTTCGTATAGGTACGAAAGGGGTTTCTCTACTACCACACTTTACTATGCACGTCCAAAAAACACGCACTTAAAACTGGACGTAAACCTCGAGAAGAGAATTGCTGCGATCCCAATTGAACGTTTTCGCAATTTCTGCATCGTTGCACACGTTGACCACGGCAAGAGCACGCTTTCCGACCGATTACTCGAATTGACGGGCACAATTCAACCGGGCACGAACAAGCAAGTTTTGGACAAACTTGATGTCGAGCGAGAACGAGGAATTACGGTCAAAGCACAGACATGTACCATGATTTACAACCATAAAGGCGAGGATTATTTGTTACATTTGGTCGATACACCTGGCCATGTGGACTTCCGTGCTGAGGTGTCGCGAAGTTATGCCAGTTGCGGTGGAGCAATCCTTCTGGTTGATGCCAGCCAGGGTGTTCAGGCGCAGACAGTTGCCAATTTCTACTTGGCCTTTGCGCAAGGCCTCGAGTTGATTCCCATTCTCAACAAGGTTGATCTCCCCTCGTCGGACCCAGAGCGGGCTCTGGAGCAGATAAGAAACACATTCGAGATTGATACAGAAAACGCGGTGATGGTCTCGGCAAAGACTGGATTGAATGTTCCAGCTGTGCTACCGACGGTGGTGGAGAAGATCCCTGCGTAGGTTTAATCAGTGGCTTCCCAAAATGCTGTTCTTTTGCTAACTGTATGCTAGACCTATCGGCGATTCCACTAAACCACTTCGTATGCTCCTCGTGGATTCCTGGTACGACTCTTACAAGGGCGTGATCCTGTTGGTCCGTGTTTTCGACGGTGAGGTGCGTGCAGGCCAGCAACTTATATCATTCGTTACCGGTCTCAAATACTTCGTCGGTGAAGTCGGCATCATGTATCCGACCGAGACCGCGCAAAGTTCTCTCCGTGCAGGTCAGGTTGGGTACATCTACTTCAACCCGGGCATGAAGCGGAGTAAGGAGGCCAAGATTGGCGATACCTTCACCAAAGTTGGGTTTGAAAAGATCGTCGAGCCTTTGCCTGGATTCGAAGAGCCCAAATCAATGGTCTTTGTGGCTGTCTACCCAGTGAATGCAGATCTCTTCGAGCACCTGGAGGACAGCATCAACCAGCTGGTCTTGAACGATCGAAGCATTACAGTACAGAAAGAGTCTTCCGAGGCTTTAGGCGCCGGTTTCCGTATGGGCTTTTTGGGAACTCTTCACTGCTCCGTGTTTGAAGACCGCCTACGACAGGAGCACGGCGCCAGCATCATCATTACTCCGCCCTCCGTCCCAGTCAAGGTCGTGTGGAAAGATGGCACCGAAGAAATCGTCACCAATCCTGCTAAATTCCCCGATGATGATAGTGTACGACTCAAAGTTGCCGAGGTTCAAGAGCCGTATGTTTTGGCCACTCTGACATTCCCAGAAGAATATTTGGGAAAGGTGATTGAGCTTTGCGAGGCCAATCGTGGCGAGCAAATAAGCATTGAATATTTCACAGCGACTCAGGTCATCATGAAGTACGAGTTGCCTCTCGCCCATTTGGTTGACGATTTCTTTGGAAAATTGAAAGGAGGTACCAAAGGCTATGCCAGTTTGGACTACGAAGAATCTGCATGGCGAGCCGGCAACATTGTCAGGCTACAACTCTTGGTCAACAAAGAGCCAGTGGATGCTGTAACGCGGATTATGCACTCGACCCAGGTAAACCGACAAGGCAGAATCTGGGTCACCAAGTTCAAGGAGCATGTTGACCGACAGCTTTTCGAGATCATCATCCAGGCTGCTGTTGGTAAGAAAATCATTGCTCGTGAGACTATCAAGCCTTACCGAAAGGATGTCCTGGCAAAATTGCATGCTAGTGATGTAAGTCGGCGACGAAAGCTGCTTGAGAAGCAGAAAGAAGGCCGCAAAAGGTTGCGAGCAGTTGGAAATGTGGTGATTGAGCATAAAGCTTTCCAGGCATTCTTGTCGAAATAAGCGTGTAAATTAGCAACCAAATACACTGTATAACATTATTTTTGAGATATCCCAAGGTCTTTTTTGTATAGAGACAATTCCTATACAAACCTGCAAGCCATACCGGCGGTGAGAGCTTGACCGGCAGAAAAAAAGTTCATGTCAAACCCCGCCATACAACTTCTTCCTCTGCTCATTCTCAATTCACTTCATTGTGTCTAAACCGTCTCATTCAAGATCTGTGGCTCTTGATCGTGGATAGACCAACGTAATACAGGAGTTAATTCTTCGACGAGCCTGAAATCTTGTTACTGGCGGCTGAAGTCCGCCTATGCCGATCGCATCGCCTTGAGTCACCCTGCCATGCTCCGTATTTGACCACGGCCATGCAGCCTCCAGAGGGTGCGCAGGTAGACCTGGGCAAGGCCCAGGTTATTGACAGCGTTCCCAAAGTCATCAAGGAATTGAAATTTGGTGTCCTGTACGCAGTTCATTCACATGTGCTTGTCACAAGCGTTTGTCGCAGATCTGATCGCTAATCTAGACTTATGTTTCCAGAACCAACGATGACATTGTCGGCCAAGCAGTAGTGGAAGTTTCCGACCGAAAGTTTTTCGACTTGGATCAGACCCGAACGGTTGTTGCGAATGGACCTCTCGATCAGCGTATGGGTATCTCGAACAAAACCGACTCTTGCGCAACATGTGGAAATAATCTCAAAGACTGCAACGGTCATTTCGGACATGTGAGACTGGTCCTACCCGCTTTCCACGTCGGTTACTTCAAGCGCGTCATTTCCATCCTTCAAGAAATTTGCAAAGAATGTTCGAACATTTTGCTTCCCGAGGCGGAGCGCCGTTCCTTCCTTCGCGAAATGCGCCGACCGGGTCTTGATAACCTACGTCGGACGCAAATCGCAAAGCGCATCAACGAACGGTGTCGGAAAACCCGTGAATGCACATACTGCGGAGCGATCAATGGTGTGGTGAAGAAGACTGGAACAAGCGCTCTGAAGATCACCCACGACAAATTCCGTGCGTTCAATGTCTCGGTTTCCGTCAAAAAGCAAACGCCGATCAGCAAGGATGTGTTTGATAACTCTTTCCTCGAGGCAAGAGGCGCAAACCCAGAGGTCGAAAAACACTTCAAAAAGGCGCAGGATGACATGAACCCACTTCGCGTTCTTAAGCTATTCAAGAAAATGTCTGACTCTGACTGTGAATTGATTGGCATGAATCCAAAGGAGGCTCGTCCGGAGATGTTCCTGTGGCAATTTATCCCAGCTCCACCAGTTTGTATTCGACCTTCAGTGGGACAAGATGGTGCATCTACAGAAGATGACTTGACCGCCAAGCTGGGTGACATTGTGCAGAGCAATATCAATCTCAAGAATGCCCTGCTTAAGGGCGCTCCAGTTCAGACAATCATGGAGTGCTGGGACTACATGCAGCTTCAAATTGCTGTCTATATCAACAGTGATGTGCCTGGACTTAACAAAGCTGATCTCGGAAAGCCAATCCGAGGCTTCGTCCAACGTTTGAAGGGAAAGCAAGGTCGGTTCCGTGGAAATCTGTCAGGAAAACGTGTTGATTTCTCTGGGCGAACTGTCATTTCACCCGATCCAAATTTGCGTGTTGATGAGGTCGCTGTTCCGGAGCTGGTGGCAAAGAACATGACTTATCCCGAACTAGTGACCAGATACAACAAGGAGAAACTGCAGCAACGGATTTGCAACGGAAGCAACAAATGGCCCGGAGCGAACTTGATTGTCAAGAAAGGAACCGGATTCAGACAGATGTTGAAATACAGTAACACTCAACGGATGGCTGATCAGCTGCAAGAAGGCGATTTGGTTGAGCGTCATCTCGAAGACGGCGACATTGTGTTGTTCAATCGACAGCCTTCTCTCCACAAGCTCAGTATTCTATCTCATTTTGCCAAAATCCGACCCCATAGGACTTTCCGATTGAACGAGTGTGTCTGCAACCCTTACAACGCCGATTTCGACGGAGATGAGATGAACCTTCACGTGCCGCAGACCGAAGAAGCCCGAGCAGAAGCAATGGAGCTAATGGGTGTTAAGAACAACTTGGCGACACCCAAAAACGGAGAGCCTATCATTTCTGCCATCCAGGATTTCATCAGTGCCGCCTACGTGTTGAGTAGCAAAGACAACTTCTACGATCGTGCTTCCTTCACCCAGATTTGTCTCTATATGCTTGGCCCTGAAACAAGATTCGATCTCCCGCCACCATCAATCTTGAAGCCTCAGATGATGTGGACTGGCAAACAAGTCTTCAACATTCTTATGCACCCCAACTCATCCGACCCCGTTTTGGTTAACCTGGACGCCGCATGCCGTGAGTTCAAGATGCCGAAGGATGGTCGTCCCAAGGACTTGGACCCCAATGATGGCTGGTTGGTCATCCGTAACTCGGAGGTCATGTGTGGTGTGATGGACAAGTCTACGATTGGTTCTGGAAAGAAAGACAACGTTTTCTACATTATGCTGAGAGATTTCGGCCCACCGGCAGCAGCCGAGGGCATGAACCGTCTGTCAAAACTGTCCGCCCGGTGGTTCACCAACATCGGTTTCTCAATTGGTATCGGAGATGTCTACCCTAGTGCAGGGCTCGTTCAGTCGAAAAACGATCTTGTTGAGGCAGCGTACTCGCAGTGTGACGAAGTCATTGCTAAATACAAGGCGGGCACTCTGGAGAAATATCCTGGATGTGACGAATTGCAGACCATGGAGAATCAGATCTCTGGTATTCTCAGTAAGGTCCGTCAGCAAGCTGGTGACGAGTGTATTAGGCAACTGAGCAAGTATAACTCGCCCCTGATCATGGCCACTTCTGGATCCAAGGGTTCTAGTATCAACGTGTCCCAGATGGTTGCCCTTGTCGGTCAACAAATTATCGGTGGTCAGCGTGTACAGGATGGTTTCCAGGATCGTACCCTACCGCATTTCCCCAAGAACGCACGACAGCCCCCATCGAAGGGTTTCGTTCGCAACAGTTTCTTCTCTGGGCTGGAGCCCCCAGAGTTCATTTTCCACGCTATGTCCGGTCGTGAAGGTCTGGTCGATACAGCTGTCAAGACTGCCGAGACTGGTTACATGTCTCGTCGTCTGATGAAGTCCCTCGAAGATCTGTCATCGATGTACGATGACACGGTTCGTAACTCTTCTGCAGCCATCGTTCAATTCCAGTATGGTGACGACAAGTTGGATCCTGTGGATATGGAGGGTAAAGCTAAACCCGTCCACTTCGACCGAACCTTTATTCACTCAGAATCTACTACATACAACAACGACGAGCGAAGCTTGTTGCCGAATGAAATGATGGAAGTTTGCGAACAGATGCTTTCAAAGGAGCGCGCGAAGTTAAACCGCAAGGACTTGCTCGGCAATGACCTGGCGTACATGGACCGCAGTGATCACGGTATCGATCAGTTCGAGAGTGCCCGTGATTTCCTTGACTCAATTCAAGAGTACGTGCAAAAGAGAGCCGACAAATTGATCTCTCGAGGTGGCGATATCGACCCGTCCGACCAGCGGAGCCGTAAGGGCTTGGATCATACGGGCAAACTGACGGATACCACACTGAGGGCTTTCATCACTGCTTGTCTGCTGAAATACAAGAAGGCCCAGGTTGAACCCGGCCATGCTGTGGGTGCCGTTGGTGCCCAGTCCATTGGTGAGCCCGGAACGCAAATGACTCTGAAAACTTTCCATTTCGCTGGTGTTGCCGGAATGAGTATCACGCAGGGTGTACCTCGTATCAAGGAAATCATTAACGCCTCAAAGGAGATCAGTACTCCCGTCGTGGCTTGCGAATTGGTCAACAAAGAAAGCACCATTGCTGCCCGCATTGTGAAGGGGCGCATTGAGAAGACGTTCCTTAGTGACGTGATCCACTCTATTACGGAAGTTTGGTCCCCCGATGATGCCTACTTGAAGGTTGTTCTGAACTGGAAAACGATCGAGGATTTGGCACTGGAGATCACGACGCCGCAGATCGTTGAAGCGATCAAGACCAACAAGCGCTTCAAAGGAAGCGATCTCAAATTCTCGTGCAAGCAAGCCTCAATCAAGGTCCACATGGATCTTGATCCGGCCAGCAAGGCATCTCTTTCTAAGACGGAGATTGCCGCCACGAGCATTGATCCCTTCCTCCGCTTGAAGCATTTGAAGCGTATCCTTCCTAGCATCCAAATCCTGGGCCACCCACGTGCCACCCGAGCTATCATTCGCACGGACGAGACCTCAACCACGAACACTTTGCTTGTGGAAGGCTACGGATTGAGGGAGTGTATGACTACAATGGGTGTGGACGGTCGCCGCACCAGGACCAACAACATTATGGAGGCGCGAGATGTTCTGGGTATTGAAGCCGCTCGAAGCACGATTGTCGTCGAAATCAGTGAAGTCATGAAGGACATGGACATTGATCCTCGTCACATGCAGCTTCTGGCCGACGTGATGACCTACAAGGGTGAAGTGCTCGGTATTACGCGTTTCGGTCTGGCTAAGATGCGTGACTCGGTGCTTCAGCTTGCTTCGTTCGAGAAGACTGCGGATCACCTTTTCGACGCCGGTGGTCTCGGTCGCACCGATCTCATTGAGGGTGTATCGGAATGTATCATCATGGGCAAGACAGTGTCACTGGGTACAGGTGCTATGGAGGTTGTGCGTAAGCTGAACTTCTACCAAGGCCAGATTGGTCCACGAAAGACGGTCTTTGAAGATGCTTGGACTGAATATTGTGAGGTGCCTTTGACCAGGAGACCTAAGAGGAAGGTCTGATGAAGCTCTGTGACTCTGTGACACTGTGCATTAATTTCGGCGTTAAGAATTTGGCCTGGACAAGGCTTGTACATGTACTTGGGAGACTAATTCTTCTAGCGGGTGAATTTCATTGACGATATGATCAATAGTTTCTTTTTTTTATTCCTCTTTGGCCTCTATATGAAATGTTAGGGCTATATAAAGAAAAGCTTCGTACTTTCGTACTCCCCGTGTATAGATAGCCACCAAGGTCAGACCTATCACAATTCTACCAAAAAACAAAAAGCTGGGGTGTGTACAGACGTGAAGCTAATTTTCAACACGACTATAGAAAAATCGAAGGACGAGCTTCTCAGGTTATATTCAAATCAACCTTTTTTACACAAAGAAGTTCACATCCCCCAACGGCCGGAATGTCTCGGATTCCAAGAGGCCTACCTACAAGTACTGAAATACCAAATATTTCCGGGGATATCACAAATCCCCTTTTATTTTTCAACAGCTGCAGCCAGCCGAAAAGAGGAATCCAAGAAATACGGGATTCAAGGGCGAGGGCGAGAGAAAGACTCGGGGGGCTAGCTCTTTATTCCCCCCCAAAAAACAAAGACAACAAATCACCCAAGAGAACCCCATGTCCGGAGTGTCCAGGGAGTGCATCGTCGCTCCAATCAGCATCGTGAAACCCCTGAGGCAGCCATGGGTGTTAACCTTTGGCCATCACATCGCCTCGACAGTTCTTTGTTCTCCGTTGCCTTTTACGGCCACGCCATATCTGTAAGAACTAGGTGGGTTGAATGTTTCTTTGTTTCCCACTGGGCAGTGAAGGATCCTCGAGCCTTTTTCTAGCTACTGAATATCCGTGTGTCGCACTTAATCTTTTACATCTCCCCCTCAACTATCTCCCCGGCCTCCCCGAAAAAAAACCCCCCGGTTTAACTTGGGATGACTATGGAGTTTGGCAACCAAAGAGTCGCTAGGAAGCGTGAGATCCGAACCCGAGCCCCGACAGCCTGTCAGACCTGTCGGCTGCGCAAGACACGATGTGACAATACCAGGCCGATCTGTAGCTACTGCGCCGTGCAGGGGGTGGAGTGCAACTATCCCGAAACCTCACCACAGCAGAACCAGTAAGATAACACCATCAAAGGGGGGAGACACTAAGCATTGACATTTACTCCTTAGTCTTGGGTTTGACCCTGTGAATCCGTCGAACCAAGAAGTGCTCCAACGACTGAATCATATCGCCGGTTTGCTAGAGGATATTAAGACATCCGAAGGCTCCACCTCCTCGAGTCGCTCACTCAGCTCACTCAAAGAAGGATTCTTTGAGTTAGTCGTGCAGAACACTAGCCCCGTGGCTGATTCATTGTCGGGGACTAATCCAACAAGCAGCAGCACTGCTAGTGTCGATGATCGGGGAACCGATCACGATCCCCGAATCCTTTACATGGCTAGCTCCGGGGAGAACATGCTCCGATGGCCTATCTTCAACAAGGTCATCACCGAATCCGAAAAGCATATTCGATCCTTCCTGCTCGACTCACTGGATAGTCAGCCCCGTAGTATGCAGGTACCCCGGCAAGTGGGAATCGGAAGCTTTGTCGATGAGATTCCTAGACTTTGCAGGAAGTACTTCCTGCTATGTCACCGAAGAAACCCGATAGTCGACCTAGAGAATCTAGACCGCTATGCCAAGGAGGTCACCGTCCAGGGTCTTGGATGGGATGGCCCCTCGTGTCAAGTAGTATGTCGGCTCCTTTTTTGGACTTCCACTTGGACTAAATTATCTCCCGTATAGTTGTTAGCGTGCGCTTTAGCTTCATGCACATCATCCAAGTTTGTTCCGCTGGCGGAGGACATGCCAGCGAATCTCGATGGACTCCAAGCACCACCCATGTCAGACGCCAACCTCGATCTGGCTGAGACATATTTCCACGCTGCAAAGCAGAGATTTGGCTTCTTGCATACGTCCCCAACAGACATTCAGTGCTTCCTTCTTGCTGGCAGTTACCACCGACATGCTATACGACCTCTACAGGCTTGGTTCTGTTACCAGCAGGCATCTTGCAGACTAGAAGTTCGTTTGCGGTCGCTGTGTAGAGAACGGTGGACCGCCGACGACAACTACCATAACCTGGAATCGAGACTATACTGGTCCTGTATCCAGGCAGAACAGTGAGTTTGTTTTATGTTATATTGGGCTTTTATATGATCACGAACTAAGTATTGTCCATAGTGAGATGCAGAGCGAGCTTCCTCTCTGGAATAGTGGCCTTGAAAGCATGGGTTATTCAGATCCGTTCCCCAAATTTCCTAGCAGGAATTCTTCTTCCTCATATAACCAGATGGATGAAGACCAAGATTTCTCCATCAGACCAGGCTTTGAACTAAATGGCACGGAAGAAGAGAGAGGGTGGAAATTCTACATCGGGTCTATCTGTAACCGCCGGACCACTAATGAAATAGTGTCTGACATGTGGCGTCAAGGGGAGAAGGGCTGGACCAAAGATATCCCCCATCTTTTAAGAAAGACACTGTCAGCAGAGAATGTTGTAACATCATGGTACAAGCCCCTGAAGCCGAGAACATGATGAAAATTCTCTCAACTCACCTTGCTAACTCTTTCAAAAGGTACCAAATCTCGATAGCCGGGATCCAGTCCACACAAGACAACCCAGACCTAAGGTTCTTCTTCCGCGGCCGGTATCACATGGCACTGGAGAGGATCTATCGACCAGCATTCTACCTTGCGATGCACTACAAAGGGATGCCAACATTCATCAAGAACAACCACCAAGTCTGGGTAGATGTGTTCGACCTGGCCCAAAAGGCCATTGACAACTGCGTCATATTGATCCCAAGCTACTGGTATCAGTTCCGACATGAATGGATTTGGAACGTGGTGCGCGCTAGCTTTGCCTGTGCTGTGCACATCCTTGGGGCTGTCTTATATCAGGTCGAAGCGTCAAGGGATCACAGTACATGGCAGGTGCGTATCCCGTCAAATTGGGCTCCTTTGGTGAGGCTGTCGATTCGCACATTGAGGCATTGGTCAGCGGAGTCTACTGATCTAGAGCTTATGGGGTCGATTCTTGAAAGGATGTATCAGGGCACGTGTCGGTTGGCTAATGTGCGCCCTGATATTCATCTAATTTGATGTAATGTTGAATGCTACGTATTGGGGAGAGATATTGAAAGGTATACATATAGGGGGTTTATGAGCTCACGCGTCCACATATGAGATCTATGCTTTGATGCTTTCAAAATATTTAACTGATAAAGCATCAACATCCTAACATATTAAATCAATACATATGTATATTAACAACATAAACATCCAAATAACCCATACTAGTATACTCCGAGATCCGCCCCACCAGAACTTTTTCCTCACTTCACATTCCTTTCTACCTTCCACCCTTCCACCTATTCAACTCTCCAACTCACTCACAATGGAAGAATACAAACCACCAGCTCTTCCCTCCCCCTTTAACAATACCACACCACCACCAACCCTCCTCACCCAAGGCGCCGAAGCTCACCTATACAAAACCACCTCCCTCAACCCCTCCATCCCCGCCGCGCTCAAGATCCGCCCATCAAAACCCTACCGTCACCCAATTCTGGACCGCCGACTGACCCGTCAACGGATAATCTCAGAAGCACGATGCCTCGCTAAACTCGTACGGGAGGGCGTGAGCGTTCCCGCCCTCCTAGCCCTGGACTGGGAAGGACACGGCGGCGAAGAAGGCGGGTGGGGCGGCGCCTGGCTAATGATGGAGTGGATTGACGGGCCGGTGATTCGGGTAGTTCTCGAGCAGTGGGAAGCATGGATGAAGCAGAATGCAGGATCACTGGGTCAGTCGCAGGTCGAAAACGAAGAGGCACGTGTGCGCGGCTTGCTGAGGAAAATGGGCGCGGCCATCGGTGTTTTGCACAAGGCCGGTGTTGTGCACGGAGACTTGACGACGAGTAATCTCATGCTGCGACCGTTTGCGGATACAAATGGTGCTGTTGATGGCACTGGATCGCCTTCCATGGAGGGGGATGTTGTGTTGATTGATTTCGGTCTTGCGTCGCAGAGCAATCAGGATGAGGACCGGGCGGTGGATTTATACGTGTTGGAACGGGCGATTGGGAGCACGCATCCGCGCTCAGAGCCTATGTTTGAGGAGCTGATTATGGGATACCGGAATAGCTACAAGGGGGCACCGTCTGCGCTCAAGAGGCTTGAGGATGTGCGCTTGAGAGGGCGGAAGAGAAGCATGCTTGGTTAAGCCAGTCTCATTTGATCTCGGAGATGGATACGACCCGTCCACACCAGCTATGATTGATTTTAAAGCAAAAAAACAAAAAAAAAAAAAAAAAAGAAACGCCACGCTTTGTCACGACATATATCCTTATTGATGACGCGAAGAAGAAGAAGAAGAAGAAGAAGAAGAAGAAGAAGAAGAGAAAAGAAGCATTCATGATCGGTCCTTGAGACACGAGCCGACATCAGCCGATGCGAAATACCCTTTGTTCTCGACTACTCCGCGATCCTTGACGACTGCCGTGTACTTGACCACCCACTGCGGCTCGATATCTCCCTGGATGCCATCGTTGGCATCGGGCGACGAAGCCAAGATCCCCGCACCACTCTTCTCCGCAGGACTAAGCAATTCCCGCGTTGTGCCGACAGGAAGAATATCATGGCAATCGTTATGGGTGAGAAGTTGGATCTGCTCCTGCTTCGCATAGAGAATCAAATGTTTAGGAACGACACAGCAATCCTTAAGATTGATCTGATCGACCGAGGGCTTGACCTTGGTATGCGGCAGGAACCGGGCCAAACGTTCGCTGCCGAATTCCGCGACGCCCAGCTGGGCGATCACGCCCTGCTCGTGCAGCGACTCCAGCACCTGCCATGTCTGCACCAAGCTGTCGAAGTCGTCTGGCTCACCATTGCTCATCTCATTACCTTCGTCTTCGCTGTCGTCGTCTGCATCGAACAGGATCCCCGGGAACGAGACGATCAGTAGATCAATAGACTTGACGTGTAGTTCCTTCAATACTAGATCAATTGCCTCTCTGGTGTGTGCGCACCGCCTTGATACCGGGATTCCTGGCAGGTAGAATAGTTTCACTGTGATATCGTATTGGTCGCGTTCTTCTGACAGGCCCGGGTGTGAAAAGTCAATCGCGGGGATATAGAGGGCGTCTTCAGTCTGTAGCGTCCATGAGGGCGGATGCGACACGGCTTGACCATTTGCGGTGCCGTTGGCCGGTGACAGTTCGATCTGTTGCGAGGCAAGGAAGTTCGATCGGAGCGAGTTGATTAGCTCAACGTTTGATTTTTGTGTCAGAGGCTGGCGAATGACGGATTGACGCCCAGCTTGCATAATATTCCTGCGAGGGATGAGTGACTTTTGATCGAGGCGCCAGAATAACACCACTTACGAACTGGATAGAATCAACTTCATGATGAATGGAATAGAATAAATGAGATCTTAGATATAGAGGTATTGAGATCTAAAGGAAGAAACAAAAGAGAGAAAGTCGCAATTTCACCCCGCGGATAGCCCCTCCCCGGCCTCCTACGGGGCCTGACAAATCCAACGTTCCTCCGGTCTCTACCCATCTCTCATCAACCATCTTCAATCCTCATCAACAGTCGGATCCCAATCTGTGGGAGAATATTCTCCTGTATCAAGCAACTTCATATCCTCATCCGCCAACTCAAAGTCAAAGACATCGGCATTTTCGCGAATGCGCTTGGGCGTAGTAGACTTGGGTAGAGGCACAAATCCCTAACAGACCATTAGCATCCTGACTATTTTATCGTTTACGTCGAACAAAATCGACCCTACCATTTGCAAACTCCACCGAATCATCACCTGCGCCGGCGTCTTCCCATACTTCTTTCCGATCGACAGCAATACAGGCTCCGTCAACCGACTCCCATGCGCAAGAGGCGAGTACGCCTCAACCACAATCTTTCTCTTCTGCAACCATTCCACGATATCCGAATGATCCAGCCACGGGTGCAACTCGTACTGACCGACATCGATCTGGCCACCCCCACCACCCTGGATGTAAGCCTCCAGTTCTTCGAGGTGGTGGATACCGTAATTGGATACCCCGATGGATTTCACTTTGCCAGCTTTCTGGGCTTCGACTAGTGCATCCCAGGAACCTAGACGGGCTTTTTTGCCGCCGTAGGGGGCATGGATTAGAATACTGTTAGGTCCACCGGTTAGACTGTATCCATTTCTATAGGGTATCATGGGATTACAGGTCAAAGTATTCCTGTGCTGCTTCTCGTAGACTGGAATCAATAGCTCGCTTGGTAGACTCGTAGCCCATTGCTTCCGGCGGGATCTTGGTCGTAAAGAAGATCTGCGATCGATCCAGTCCGGAGTTCAGAATTGCCTTTCCGCAGGGCTTCTCGTTGCGGTACATGATCGCCGAGTCGACCTGAGATCTCTTGTTTAGTGTCATCTTACCATCTTTCTGGGTGGACGTACATGACGGAATCCAACGTTCAGAGCTTCGGAAGTGGCCTTCTCGGTCGCAGATGAGGGGCTAGTAATGGTTAGGGGATTTAAGACGAGGGATCGATTCCAACATACATCATATACACCTATTCTCAGGTCATACAGTGTCAGCTCTGCTCTTGAAATTCATATACGTGTTTGCGGGATAACTGACCCCATATCCCAGAACTGGGATCTCATGTCCTGACTGTAGTCGATGCTTTTATTGGAGAGTAAGCTTTGCCATGTTGGAATTGAAGAAAAGAAACAAATCCAACGGCCGTTTGAGAAAAGATGAGATCATAGTGGGGTGCGACGTCGGAGAATCGTCCGAGCTCTATAAAATCATAGCAATTCGGATATGTCTATAATACTATCCTGCTATATGAATCGGATAAAAAAATGTAATTGTAACTCTGATGCTCCTATTGATTAAAATTCTATCCCTGAACCAACGTTACTCCAAGGATCCCAAAAACTCCCAACTCAGCTTCAAGCTCTTCGACTAATCGCACAGCTCTACCGCAATGAGCGAGTTCACTCCATGCGGTATTGATAAGATGTGGCCATGAGAGATATGCTATCATTAAATGGCTTGCAAGCGACCAAGAGACGACCTATGAACAATATGCTTGGGTGACAATCCGAGTAGACTTCCAATTGTGAGCTCCACAATTCCTCTGTGAGTATTTTGTCCATTCCAGGCTTCTCGGGACGGAAAAAGCCTCTCAGCATTGCCTTTGTTGACTTCGCCTTTTATCAATTAGGGATGGTAATTAGGGATGGCAATTCGGACTTAGAAGTCATCATTCTCAATAGCTTTCATATTATCTGTTGAAATGTAGAAATAAACCAAGGAGATAGTAATATAGGATGTTAACGTTGACATGCCAGGTTACCAATTTATATACCCTTTCACTATACTAGAGATGTAAGCAACCACCCCAGTAGTTCGAACTGGCGGTATAGAGGCTTTCACATCGTCCATATACCACGCCAAATCACCTGCTCCATGCTGGTCACGCACACTTTCACCGTTTCCTAGGAATCGGAAGCGGTTCTTGGAGCGGTATTCAATATTGAAATGCTCCCCTCCAATGTTTTCAAGGCAGTCCTTGAAGTGCAAAACCGAGCCCGGATATACCCCGGTGACATGGCCGGAGCTTTTTCCGTTCTTGTACCAGCTCTTACAGTTATCCGACCAGACCATACGCTTGAGGAACTCTTGACAGTAAACATTGTAGTCTTCCATGGCTTCTTTCTTGACATCAATTGACCTGTGGGGATTATGTTAGTCAAACGCCGGACCCATCAAGACCATAATGACTCACTTGATATCCTCCGTAGCGATCTTCTTGGCCCAGCGAAGAATGTAATCGCATGTCCAGGAGACTTGCGTCAGAAGCGAGCCATGGGAGACAGGGCAATTGGGCCCGTTGAAGATAAAATAGTTGGGCATTGTGTCCACTTGGACCGCAAAGAAAGCCTCGGGGTTATATTTCCATCGCTCTTCCAATGTGGCTCCATGGCGACCAACCATCTTCCAAGGTGGAATAAAGGATGTGTCAAATCCGGTGGCGCAGACTATCACGTCAAATTGTTGCTCATCACCGGTGACCGTTTTGATACCCAGTTCTGTGATACGCTCAATAGGATCGAATGTGAGAGTTGCGTTGTCGTTGGTAAATGCCTCCAGATATCCACTCCCTGGTGTCAAGCGACGGCAGCCAGGACTGAACTCGAGAGAAAGCATCTTCGACACAAGTTCTCGGTCAGGGTATCCTTTCATTTGCTCCGTCATCTGCTGCCGGCATATCTCTTCCAATCCCACTTGCATCGGGTGACCTTTATACATTCCATAAAAGAATGCATTGACACTTTACTCAAGATTGGCTTAGTTCTGACGACCTCTTGATTGGTGGGGGTGTTGAACTTACCTGGCTTCTAACTCTCTTCGGTACTTGAAATGAGCCTCGCTATCTTCCGCAAAGTGTGCTTTCTCCTCTTCTGTGTAGGGAAAATTATTCCCATCTTTGGTCTTATCCGCGCAAAAGTTGACAGAAAGCCAGGTCGGATTGCGCACAAAGTTGACAAGCTGAGCGACCTTCGGCTGCATTGCACTCACGCATTGAATTCCGGAGGAGCCATTGCCAATGACTGCAACACGTTTGTTTGACCAGTCGTAGGTGTTATCCCTGAGGATGACTCGTTAATAATTATTGTCTAGGAGTGTGTGGACGTTGGCTCACCAGGTCGAAGTGTGAAGCAATTTGCCCTTGAAACTCGAGAGTCCCTCAATGTCAGGCCAGTTGGTTTTGCTAGTTGGAAGATCACCGTTAACAAGAGAAACCAAGGAAGAGGGGGTAAGTGATCCTCACTTCAAAAAGCCGGACGCATTGACCAAAATATCGGCTTCGTCATGTATGATTGTGCCAGCTTGGTCCACCACCACTTTCCACTTTCCCAACTCATCATCCCACGCAGCCTCAGTAACACGGCTGTTGAACTGGATGTCTTTGTCCAAATTCCATTTCTTTGTCGCTCGTTGAATATAGTCCCCAATCTCATGACCGGGTGCATAGAAATGGGACCAGTTTGGATTAGGCTCGAATGAAAACGTGTATGCATCTAAGTGGATGTCAATTTTGGTTGGCAAAGAGGCACCCAAAAAAACTTACGAGCCGGAATATCACTGGATAGGTCAGATCAGCTAGTCATATTTAGACGCACAGATTATGTTGTACTCACCAAGCTACACCTGGATAGGTGTTCTCGAACCATGTTCCGCCGACCTGAGGATTCTTCTCGTAGATCTTCAATTGGACGACATCGCCGAGCTGCAGTTCATGATCAATCTTGTGGGCAAGGGTCAGCCCCGAGTAACCAGCGCCAATACAGATTATCCTTAGTTTGCGTCGCGCATAAACTGGTTGGTCGGTACAAGGGATCCAGTTAGGAGGGGTCTCGCCGTTAGCAACGCGAGTAGCAGGTGTTTGGAGAGACTCTGAACCACTTGGCAACCCATTGGGAATGTGAGACATGTTGAGGGGTTTGGGGGGCAGTTTACGCAGTAAACTGTTCCTCTTATAACGCTACGATGCGGAAAATACGGTAGAATCGGAAGGCAGTAAGCGAGGGAGCGATTAAGTTTTCCTTTAAGAGGGGTATACGGCATAGAAAGGGCCTAGGTCTTACGCTATGGGTTTAGTTATATGTGATAGTGTGAAGGAGTACATAAGTAGTTAAGTAGGCAAGTAGATTCTCTGGGGACTCCCGTCTCCGCACCGCCGAGCTAAATCCGCCGGGCAGAACCGCTCGTATCGCCCAGGGGGGCCCAGTGCTCGGCGTGCATGCTCCCCTGCCAACTAGTCCATCTACTGGCTCCATAATTCTGCTAATGTGATAGATCACAACGGCACATAGCGCCTATCAAATCAGGCTTCGAAGAATACAGTCAGCATTGGCTCGTATTCCGCTATCACATGCTTCCCCCCCATTTAGGTGCATATTTGCCTATCTCATTCCCAAATTGCCACATGTGGCCTCTATTTTAAATCGTAGTATACACAAAATGTAAATGTAGTCCGTCTCAATCCGCCTTAGATCTTCGTAAAGCTGACTCTTCGGGGCCTTTATGGTACTTGAAGGGTAGATCAGCTTTTTTTGCCTGTTTTGTACTTGGCCCATGTCACATCCACGTCTTGTTGGACGGTGATACAACCTCGCTCCACGTCCTGGTGTACACTCGCAGCCTCGTCCCCCAGCGACCGAGTGGCATTGATATCGTTCATTAATTGGACCTCATCCACACAACCAAAGTCATTGATACTGAATAATGAGTCCTTGGTTGGCTTTTTTACTCGAGGTTTCCGGAGCCAGGTCGCTGTCTCAGATGACTGTTCCGCGCTTGGATCGGTACTGCGATTCTTTGACGAGCGCGTCCGAACTCTGGACCACCACCGACGAAAGAAAGGCCCAAACGTAGGGAGGCATGCACAGATAATCCCAACAAAGGGTTCAACGGACGACCAAATAAAGACAGGCGCGATAGTCCATGTCGCATCTGTTCCCTGGGTGTTCTCCCGAAGCGAGATGATCCGGCAAATACTTGCGGCGCAAACACTGAAATCAATTAGCCAGGATCAATCTCATAGGAGGCCCGGGGACCAGAGGCACATACAAACTTCCTAAGAGCAAGATACCCACGACCGCGACCTTCTGCGATAATGGCATCTGCAACTTGTAAATTGTGGGCATCGGCATGCACAGTATTATCACATCGATCAACATGGCACCAATTCCATTGCCGAAAAAGAATGAGGGCACATCGATGCATACACCAATGGCTGTTGGATCTGCGTAGACCAGCCAGAAATATGGCAGTGGTCGACAGGCCACTGCAGCGGTGACGATAATGGTGATCCAATACCCAATGACCAAAAACATACAGAAGCCCATAGACCAGCGAAAGTTGAAGATACGGCCGTAAAAGAAGATGATTGAGGCTTTGGTGCAGGTGACGGCTGTAGCGTAAATCATGACATAGGCGAGAAGTATCTAAATGTTTAGTCAACGTCTATCCCAAGCATCTCGCTCAGTGTTTCTCTTACTTTCCAAACAGTAATAAACTCTCCTTTTGTCAAGGATTGCAAATGATAGCCAAGGCCATAAGGAATGCCTAGACAGTCTGGTGTAAGTGCTGTACTCATCAATTGGCTATGTCGCGCCTCATTCTTTATTTATTTTTTGACTCACTTATGAAGCAGGATATTGCTGTTCCCCAAGAGAATATAAGACCTGCAATGATGAGGTAGTCATCGATAGCTAATTTCCTAGCCTCTTTGGTCTTCATTGGTGCAATTATTCGCAATATAACTGCAATAGTCGCGAGTGTCGCTACAGGAATCACTGCTCCCAACAAGCTGCCGGTCTGGTTATCTGTGAGATCTAGCCCAGGCGGTGCTGGACCAAAGTCACCTGTGGCAGTCTCGCTAGGCATTTTGGCGGTCCTGCGGTAGAGGAAAGAGAATAACAAAGTAATGAGACGACTCCACTGGTCTGAAGATGCAGTACCTGGCAGTGCGGGACCACTTTATATATATTCTGATTTCGAGAAAAAAAAATGACCTTATATTCTTTAGAGAAGACTCTTCAGGGTCCAGGGGTCTGGTTTTAACCTATCTAAGATGCTAGAACTCGTAATGATCCGCGTACATGAAAACGAGGGATCTCATGTGATTAGTCAATGTGAGTTGGTGTGTTCCATACCGGGTATAGGAGTGTGAGTACTCCGCATCGAAGCCACCATTCAAATAGAAAACAAAAACGGACATACAGGGGTCTGAGTTCGAGCAATGGCTTTGTTGATGCGACACTTCATACGGAATAACGATCCTTCGATCCGGTACGATCTTGGATAACGCCCCGGGGCCCCACAACCCGTCCGTTTGACAGGTCGGGATGTGCCGTTCTCTTCCACGGTACAGTACAAATCTACCATGTTTCAGTGAGCGGTTGTGCCCTAGACCCGTGGACTCGGCTTTAACATAACCAAGTGTTTCACCCTCGTCAGGGCACCCCTACTACTCACATCCGTTTAGAGCTCAAGTAGCCAGTTTAAAGGTGACCAAGCACAATGGTAACTCACAAATAAGTATGTATACTTTCACGCTATCATTTGAGCTATTGGCAATACCTTATATCTATCTCATCAAAAGACATGGAATGTGAGTTTAAAAAAAAAGAGCTATCACTCCATTGACCTATCTGGTTTCTCTTTTCCTTCCAAGATTTCATTTGTTGGGATTATGATTAATCCGCTCACCCCCATCAGCCATATCAGCCTCAACCGAGGATTTTTGTTGTGACACATCATCTATCCCGGTGCCTTGGTGCCTAGTTTATCGGACTTCCATTTGGTTAACTAACTAAACTGTTAGTTGGCTGAATTCTGTTTGTCGTGGAGATTCGAAAGTTCTTCTCTCCTCTCTTTGCTCTCTTGTAGTTTCACGACTGCAGCGAAATGTGACCGAGGTACGGGGTAGTCAAACCAAATTAAATAACATATAGATTCAAAAGATCATACTGAGATATTTCAATTTGCTTATTTCTGGTTGTGTTTCTTGATTTTGATGCATCTACGCACAAGAATGATTGACCGCTCATGCGGCCTCTGTCCTCGACATAAGGTGTTGATAATCCAATCTAACCATTTAGATCAAGATGATAGATGTTAGGGATGTTACATACGAACACTCGGATGTGTTTTCGGATGTTCTATTTGGCATGTCTTGTTGGATGTGTACGAAGGTTGTAAACCTAAACCGTGCAGAGGAATTTCTACACGATATAATCAGGATCAAGATTAGAGATATTTACATATGTAGTAAGTCACTAGTAAACCGCCAATTACCCGAGTCCCATAAAGTGCACTCTAACTACAAAAAAAATCTCTACAATAGCCTGCGTAGTAAAATAAGACCTGGTGAAACACTAGTTCTAGAGATGGGTGGATGTGCCAAGGGATTTTCAATTTTTATCCAGTGGTCGCGCCCGGCAAATTGAACAGAGGTCCGAATTTCATGTTCTACAATATGGAGTGACAGTGCGATCATTTGAACGAATGGGAGTAGTTCCGTGTTATATTCCTGCCAAACGATATGGCGTTAAATACATAACTAGTGCGAAACTTCGATCCAATAGAATCACAAAACCCCCATACAATGCTCAAGTTTATAGATCCAATACAACTCCCTCCCTTCTCTTTCATTTCCTTCCTACTGCATAGTGGCCAATAGTTCCAACACATCTCGGACAGAGCTCAAGGAGGGGATGAGTCGGGTATAACGTTCTGGTTTTCGCATGGGACAGCACATCTGGAAAGCGAAAGTTAGTTTTTCTGTTCGCATCTAAAATTTCTGAGTATTAGTAACTTACTTGGTTGCGAGTTTATGACCGCCGGACGTGAATTGATCTTCAACATAGGTGTAACAGACACCACCATAGTCTCCACTATATTCCCCTTCGGTGGTATCTCCCTGGCTCTCCCAGCTGTCAATTCTCATGTAGAACCTGAGATCAAATGTCAGTGGTCATTTTCTGGCTAAATCGAGGGAATAAGCAAACCCACCCATTCCTTTGGAATTCAAGCCGAGGAGAGCAAAGACCTTCCGAGACGCATTTCGGAGAGCCATCGTATGTAGCTTTGTCTGTTGCAGCAAATTGAACACGGAAATTACCAATTCCAGGATCATTAAATGACGCAATTGGAGGTACACCGTTTAAGTCGGTCCAGGCGCAGTCCCAGTCATCGTGCTCTTGCTTAGTCTGACCTTGACCGGCAAAGCCAGGCTCGACTTCCATGTGGCAATTGCCACCTCCCTGAGTCCGGATGTAGATTGTGCAATATGCGTCGCTATTTTCCCATGGGGCCTCTTTTGGCTTGAAAACGTTGGTAAGGATATTCGCCAGCGTACCCAAGCTCAGTCCACCAGCGGCCCCAGCAGCTTCAATAAAGGCGTAGACTCCTAGTCCAAGAATAACAGGAGAGCGTTTATTTAGCATGTGGAGCTCTGGTTCACGGGAGACAATTTCAGTAACACTGTTCGAGAGTTCATCCGCGGGCAAAGGATTCGCAGCAACAATGGCACAATACGCCATTGTGCTAAGGGGATAGAGCCATGACGACTTCATACTGAATGGCAGTTTTGATGGTCGCTTCTGTGGTCAAAAGCTTTGGTTGAGAGTATATCCTAAAAGTCGACGGAGGAAGAGCCATAATTATATATACCTTTGGTTAAATATTGATAACCAAATTCAGTAGCGTCTAGTGGGTCATCCGAGTGGATGTCACTTTCCATCTAGACCCCAAATTTTGATACTGCATAACTTGTTTGTGGGCGGGAGGAGATGAGAAATGGGGCTATTTCGTATCTCCTACGATTATCTGGGGTAAGATGTGGGCGATCTCGCCAAGCAGCTTGGGGGCGGGAGGCGATTTCGTGAGCACTATGATTAGCTAGGGTAAGAGGTGGGCGATCAGCCAAGGCCATCAACTATTATTGGAGACAATAACTCCTGAGGCGTTAGACATTTACTCATACTATACCTGCATCCATTCATCTTCGGCGAAAGCATCCATTCATCTTCGGAGAAAGCACCTAGTCCAGTACAAGGGGCCTTTCACTACTTTATTTTAACTCTATTTCGAACTACGTCATATTATACTTACCCCATCTATTCCTTCAGGGCCAACATGTATTCTTAGCATTATCCTAGTGCGGTAATAAATTATGATTATCATAGACCATGTACTGTCTAGTAGGAGTATGGAGCCAAAGACATCGCCGATCGGGGGGCAACAGCTTAAGCCACAAAATCCGTAAATGATATCATTCAAAGAATCTCCAAGACTTAGCTGAGAAATATGGTTGGTTGTTGTATCCAAAGTTGGACCTAATCTAGTCGAACACCCTACCTGGATTGATATTCCTTTCTCTCCCTTCCTTTCCCTCTTAGTTAGTAGTCAAGCCCGACCCATTTTTTTGTTTCTCTACATGATTTATGTAAGTTACGAGGAATAAGTCATGACATTTCTATGTTGTCCTCTTTTGAGGGACCTCAGGGTCTAGGTGGATATTAGAACCCGAACCAGGAGTGCGGTTTCATTGAGGTTCGGGCCGAGATCCATACCTGAGTGGGTCGATTTCGTGTGGATTCATTGCACGTGACTGCGCTGGTTTGCTTCGGTCCGTTAATATTCCGTGTAAACTATTATGTATTGTATCACAAGCAGAGTACAGTCAATACACTGTAATTTATCAGGGATTTGATTCTGATTGTGAACGTGTCTCGTGTATCTGCTTAATTTTCAAATTCTAGCACAGCTCGAAATGAGCTTATTGCCGAGTTCTATCAATGGTCTAGTACTTGGCTTGCAAATATAGATAAAGGTATGGTGCTAAAAAGATGATCCGTCGAATCATCTGGCCTACGCCTTTACAAAGAAGTGACTCGACCGTCCAACATTCCCTGAAAATGAATAAACTTGCTTTTCTGCTATTATTAAAGGGGATGCCAGAAGTCAGGCGATCACCTTTGTTTACTAGTCTTCTGTTCCCAGACTTCCTCTGATTATGAGTTCAAAAATTGTATAACTTCATATCCTCGAGTCCTTCCATTCTTGAGGGGTTAGACAAAGAACAACCCGGAAAGGCATGCAGTGAGCAGTGAGAAGACAAAGAAAGCAGTCGGGATGCCTACCGTCGGATGCAACGCCTTTTTACACTTTAATTCAATACTACACTAATGACCCTGGCATAGTATCTTAGTTCTTTCACAGAGCCCTCTCCCATCCACGGCGGTCACATTCATTCATTCATGCATGCATATCTCCTTGGCAGTCTGGCACATTTCGCCCTCTTTGAACAGATAAAGATGGAACCTACTTCCTTAGAAAAAATAGAACAAGCAAAGGTAACTACGCGCTCAAACACTCCTCCAGATGATGTGGTGCTTCCGCCTTAGCAACTTCGTTGCTCTCATCGTCCTTTTGGTCGGTCCGACAGCAACATCAGGTGCAGTTGGGGGGGCTGCACTTCAAGCAAGTAACGACGGTCTTTGTTCCAAATATGTTGTCCAGGCTGGTGAAACTTGTTCCATGATTGCTCAAGCACAATCTATCACCGAGGCTGATATCGAAACCTACAATGCTCGAAGCTGGGGATGGCTGGGATGTGGGCATTTATTGCAGGGTACTTCCATCTGCATCAGTGCCGGAGAGCCCATGATGCCAGCTGCGCTTTCAAATGCTGTTTGTGGTCCCCGGGTGCCTGGAACAGGACGCCCTACTAACTGGTCTGGCCTGGGGTCTTTGAATCCATGTCCGGCTAATCAATGTGTGAGTTGAGTGTTTGAAAATATGTCTCTTCAAAATCTAATAATTGCATAGTGCTCTTCGTTTGGTTATTGTGGAAGCGGTCCGGACTATTGCACTTCTGCGGCTCATACCAACGGCACCAATCGCACCGAAGGGACCACATTGAAAAAGACTCTCACATCTACTGGCGCAGCCAAAACGATTCAGAAACTTGTGGCTAGCAGTGTGTCCTCATCCACTAAGAAGACCACATCGACCAGTGCAACCAAGTCTGTCCCCAAAGCTACGTCAACCACCACAACCACCAAGACTACTTCCACCAGGAAAACTACGTTGGCGACGAAGTCAACCAAATCATCCCAAACAAAAACAAGCACTAAGACCAGCGAATCGGGATATATTAAACCATGGACAATGGAAATGTACAGCAAGAAGAACTGCAAAGGCAATTACGTCAAACTCCAAGGACATAATGTGGGCTACAAGAAGGACTACAAATGCCTGAGACCGAATAGAAGTCTAAGCACCGAATCAGACACGGGGTTTTCCTGCAAATGGGTTTATAACAACGGCGCCTCCATCGCTGGTTGTAATGTCGGTGGCGTCGACGCACCTGCATCCTGGATAGTTAAGGGCGGTATCTGCACTGTATGGGAATATATATACTGCGACAAAACAAGCCATCGTCATGAGGGCTATTACAATCCGGGATGTCAGAATCGAGCTGATCATGATATAGTGGAGTGGTACTCTATGAAATGTTACATTCCTGAAGGGCTCAATGAATCTTGAGTTTGATTCATGTTATATAATTTATGCTTATACTATAAATACATGGGGCATTTTGATATTCACTGATCGTTTACATGTGTAGTTTTATATAATAATGTTGGTCGGGTTGCGATCGGTTCCAAGAGGTTTGGAAGCCCTTCAAACCTCCGTATTTTTGCTTTTTTCGCTCTGCGCTTTATTAGACCTTACTGATTGAACTTGATCTGGTCACAAAAGCGACAAAGAGAGAGGAAAATTCCTTGCATCTGAAGCTCTCAGTTCGGATCTTCTCCAAATAGGGCCTCGACTTTATTCGCCTCTATTTGCTCTAGTTCATTGTCCCTGGGCTTGATATATTGAGAACAGAGTTATTTTCAACAATCCTTGATAATCAGTTCTCCATGACGAGTAGACTGCACCCTATAAAACAGGAATCTACAAAGAAACTACGGTGGGCTGGCCGATTTCGAGGCCTGAACCTCATAAAAAGCGGATCGGACGATCGCCGATTTTGCAAGTACACACTGTTCTATACAAAGGAATATATAGCCTCACGAGTGAAACGAGGTGTCCGTGGAAATATTCTTGGGCAGTACAAAGTAGCAGTAGCCATTCAAACCAAACATTTCTATGTAGTTGAAAGATTGTTTCAATAAAAGCAAAAAACATGTATTAAATGTCATGCACCACATGGACATTTCTAAAATCCAACAACCTCCTCCCTATGTATACAGATACAAATCTTCAAACCACCAACCTAGACCTTTCTTTGCAGCTCCTTCTGGGCCTCGGCGTCAACTTGCTCTTGCAACTTACGCTCCGCCTCGCGCTTAAGCTGGTCGGGGCGACGAATGGCAATGTCCTTAGGACGGAAGTCACTGAACAGGTGCTTGAGAACGTTCTCAATCAACCAGCAGCCACCGTAGTCCAAGATCATCAGCACGGTCAGGGTCATCTTGAAGTCGTTGGTGAAGGGAACGAGGCGCAACTTCTGATTCAGCTCGGGAATGAATTCGGTAGCGCAGGAGAATGCAACACCTGATGCGGCGATGAGACCCCAGTACATGCCCTTGTTCTCGCGGATCGACTCGCGGAAGGGACGGCCTTGGTAGTTGATCGAGAAGGTGGAGATTTGCTGAATCAGCTGGAGGAGGTAGATGGCGCTGTTCAGGAGGGAAGGCTCAAACTCGCCCTCGAGATCAATATCGGAATCTCTCCTGTTGGTTGTGTTAGCCATGGAGTGAGACAAATTAGAGGGAGGTTGCCATAACGTACGGCTCGTGCTTATAGACATAGTTGGAGAGGTAGATCAGAGTCGCAATGTGGATGGCAAACTGTCCAAGAACAGATCCAATGATGTAGACATTGAAAATATTGGGCTGCGGGCGCTCCTTGGAAAGACCCTCGACAGACTTTACACAAAAACATTAGCAAATAATGTATCAAAATGGAGAAGTACGACATACCTTGGCGCGAGAAATAGAAAGGAAGCAGACACTCATCAGCATACCGCTGATGGTGACTTGTCCATCACCAAACTTGATACCATCCAGGTAGATGACACTCAGACTGTAGGCACTGATCAAGCAGTTCAAAGCAAGAATCTTGTACATCTGAATAGTCGCAACCAGGGTGCAACGACCTTGACGGATAATATTCGGGATAGCAATAACGTTAGCCAACTTGCTGGTGAAGGGAGCAGCGACTGATGCATCACCCAACTTGATAGTGGGGGGCTCGCTGTCATCCAGCTCCTGTTCCATCATAGAAGATGTAAGCTTGTCTGCAAGGCCAGCTGCGGCAGCCTGGGCCTGCTGCTTTTTCTGCTGCTGGGGGGTCAAGTTCGATTGTTGTAGGGCCTGTGCGCCAGGAGATGTGATAGTTGGGATAGCTTCGGGAGTTCCACCGGGAGCGGCGATTGCGGCACCCTTGCGCTGCGACTCACGCTCCATGGCTTTCTCGTAGTGCGGGTTGGTAGGACCGGGGGGATACAGGTGAGCGATCAGAACAGGGACTGGAGGGGCGGGCTGGTTGAATCTTTGCATCATGCCGACCTGCTTCTCGTACAGCTCCTTCATCTTGGTGTTCCGGTAGTGTTCAGCGATCTTGGTGAGGTCCTCTTGCGAGCCGTTCAGAAGCGCAACACCGACGTGGGCCTGCTTCAGAGCGCCAACATCGTTGGTGCCATCACCGCACATCAGAGTGGTGTATCCAGCATCCTTGAGACCAAGAAGAATCTCTTCCTTCTGCTTGGGAGACACACGCGCATAAACCCAGGTGTGGCGGAGCAGATCAGGGAGAGCCTTCTGGCCCTTGAACTTTGCCAAAGCATATCCAGTGATACAGATGTCCTTAGTCTTCAAGATTTCCGGGTCGAGGGGCATAGTGGGGTCGACTTCAAGATTGAGCTTATCGTCGATGGTACGCCAGACAATCTTGGTTCCAGAGTTGTCATGCTCAGGGGCGTCAAGAATGAGAACCTCACGGTCAACAATCTCAACCTTGCGTGCGACATGGACAGCGGTCAACGGGTTATCGCCAGTGATCATGACAACACGGTGGCTGCTTTCATTCAACATTTGGACAGACTTGATAGCATCATCCTTCAGCGGGCACTGCAGGACAAGGAAACCGGCAAAAATCAGTTCGGATTCAATCTCTTCACGGACATAGTTGTTCACGCGGCTCTGGGAAAGCTCGGTCTCAGATGAAAGGTACTTGTAGGCAAGAGCAAGCACACGAGCACCGTTGCGGGTGAAGTGCTTGTAGGTTTCCTCATAGTTGGGAGGTGTGTTGACCAGCATAGTATTGATGGTCTCGGGGGCACCCTTAACACCCACAAAGGTAGACTTGATCTTCTTGGAAGCCTTGCGGTCATTGGTCGTAACGGTGGCGATAGTACTCTGGCGCTTCAAAGCCGAGGAGAACTGGAATCTTCTCTTGATTTGAACAGCCTCGACGTTGCGACCAGAGACAACGGGGGCGTTGCCCTTGGATGACAGAGTATCGTTCTTGCCCAGAGTCCAGCCAAGCCATTCCAGAGTGGCCTTTTCCATGGGGTCACCGACGACCTCGCCCTCATCCAGCTTCACCAAGGCGTGAGCACTGGCAAGAACGAGAGTGGTGTTGGGTCCAGCAACAGAGGAATTAGCCAATTCGGTGTGAGCACCATCAGCTTCGATCTTCGAACCAGCCTCACCTAAAGTGAGTCCAGCAATGCCATCAACGACCAAGTCTTCTCCGGTCAGGGTACCGGTCTTGTCAAAGCAAGCGATGTCAACACGACCAGCGAAGGGAATACGGAAAGGCTCGGTACAGAAAATGGCATACTTGCTCAGAGCAGCAAGACTAGTGTTGACGGCCAAGCTTAGTTCCATGGGCAATTCAGGAGGAACAACACTGGTGATGATGAGGACACAGTCGAGCAGAAGCTTGGAGCGTTTGCGGTCCCGGATCACACCTTCTTGCCACACGTACCACGAAGCGGCAATTGCGAAAATCAGGAGGAAGAGAATGAACAATAGAGCTTCAACATTGTTGGCAGAGACACGTTCAGTCGAGTAGATCATAGTCCGGACGAGGCTACCCTGGCTGGTTTCGAATCCGGTCTTAACAACCACACCCAAGGCACCATTGTCAGGGGGCATGGTAACGTTGCTGGCCAAGTTCTTCAAGCCCGCATCGCCGGTCAGATTAGGGTGAGTAACCTGGAGAACCTTGGTACCTCCATGCACAAACGAGAGCTTATCCAATCCATCCGGTTCAATCAAGTCGTCGCCGGGACGGAGCTGGACAGAGTCTTTCAGAAGAGGTGTGCTCTCGCCAGAAAGCATAGCCTCGTTGACAATAACACTGCCCTCAACCAGAAGAATATCGCAGGCAACACCGCTGTCCTCCTTGGTACGGTTCACCGACATGAGATCACCGGGAAGAAGCTTATCACTGGTGATCTCCTGCCATTTCCGTTCACGGTATACCCAGACATCGTAAGGCTTGATGCTCATTCCACGGAACTCACTCAAGGTCCTCTGGCGCTGCCACACAACGGTACTCTCAAACATAACGAGCATGAAGAGCGTGAAGAGCGAGTAGTACCAGTATTCATCCAGCATCCACAATCCAACACAGAAAATCTGGAAGACGAAGAACGGCGCGACAGCGTGCTCCTGGAAGAGCTCGAGGAAACCGGGAACAGGGATATCGAAGGTGTTATCTCCATAGTGGTTTTGGATGCGCTCAATCTCGGCCTTCGACGTGAAGCCCTCGCTCTGCTGGAAAGTCTTAAGGGCCGGCTTCGGTTCGGCATCAAGGGCGTAAGAAAGGGGTGCAAAGGTGCGAGTCTCGGGGTAAAAGAGGAAGCGGCGCTTCTGGAAGAGGAACGAAAGGGTCTTCTTCGGGCCGGTGTCCTCTCTAATCAGGTTGCAGATCTCGGCAGAGCCAGCGTTGGTGATCGGAACCACTTTGATAAGCCGGGCAGTGTCGACGGACTTGGATCGAGTAGTAGTGAATAGGGTGTTGATATCAATGTTCCACTTGGTCATCAGCCAAAAGAGTGACTGGATTGTGACGATAGACCCCGCGAACACGAAGGTCCATTCCTGTCCCTGAATGTAGGTATCATAGCGCTCGGGGGAGAGGTAAAAGGCGAAGAACACGGGCCAGATGATCAGGAAAGGCCAAACGTATGTATGCAATTGCCAAGGGATCGGGTTGTGCAACGAGGCAGTATGGATCTGATGGTCGTCCACGAGCTTTGCCCTGTATACTGTTAGCTGCAGCAAAGAATCGGGGGGAGGTTCTGGTAGCGCACATGGTGGGCAATCTAGTGACCGCGGTCAGAGTCAAACAACCAGAAAATTAAAGACTCATACGAAGCAGGGAAGAAATGATAGGATCCAATCGAGGAAATTCCTAGATTCGTAGATGAAGCCACCTTCCACCTTACAATTTCGGTTCCAGAGGATTCGCCGCTCGACGCGCTAGCATTATGTCAGCGGATTTTTCCCTCCAACTCTTATAGGCTTATGTAGCATTATAATGCCGCTTCTTTCAACAGCCCGGCCGGGCTAGCTCAATCGGTAGAGCGTAAGACTCTTAATCTTAAGGCTGCGGGTTCGACCCCCGCGTTCGGCTATTCCTAAAAACCAAACCTGAGATTTCCTTTTTGTCATTTTCTTTTTGTCATTCTAGTTGGCTATAAGATATGGATGGTATAGGTTTTTTTTTTGGCATATAGATATAATATTTTTTTGGCAGATCTTGGTTTTTTTTTTTTTTCGTTTTAGTGCTCACTCGGGTGAGGTTAACACACCCAAGTCTTATACAAGCATTGAATCGCCCGTTCAGGGGACTAACTATTAGCTGATCGTCAGACAATCTGCATAGTAGTTGTGCTATTGCTCTGGCGGAAGGGGATAAAGAGACCCAGGATGCTGACAGTTGCTATTTAGGAAACCTCCATGAGACCTTGTAGAGAATCATTTGAACCTGAGATATTTTCGCTCTAGGAGTGTTTGGTAAAAATATATATATAGCAATGTATTCCACAACTATCAAAAATCCAGATACATGACTTTAAATCTCCCCACCAACCGCCCAGTACACGAACAGGCCATAACCCAGCAGAAGTTTTTGCGCAGCTCCCAGGCCAATTTCCTCTACAACACCGGTCGGCACTATCCAGTTGTTCTCCGCCTGTTGCCGCGCAGCCGGGTACAAGTACCACGGGGATGTGACACACATCCAGACACCCACCCAAAGATATCCTAGGAGCCTCTGCCAGAGCGGCACTACACGATCATCGTCCTTTTTCTGGCCCGTGGCTCTTCGCCAAACTTCCTGAACCCCGTCCTCGATCATGATAGCAAGTGGAAACGAGCAGAAGAACTGCATGGCGCCGGACATAGACGGCGGAATGCCCAGAATAGCATCGCAGACAAGGTGCAATACGCCGGATGTGAAAAAGGTGAAGAAGATGTTGGTGTAGCGTTCCAAGAGCGAGGGACGGAGAAGCCCGAGGATGTCTCTTGCGATATAGTTGCCGACAGAGGTAAGTGGCCAACGAAAGGACTGATGCCAGAACTTGCTGTGATGGGGTTAGTGAATGAATATGAGCGTCCAACTTGCTCTGAAAAAAAGCACCAGAGGAGTTCACTTACCCCCAGACTCCACGGATGGTGCATACATCCCGCAATCTGCCGAAGCCTGGTCGACAAGACTCTGGAGAAGAAATGCCCAAGACCACCAAGATGAGGAAGTAAATGCGGGAAGTAATGTTAAGACAGACGCGGGAAGGTACAAGCCAGGAGAAGATCCCCACGGAGAGGCGCCCCATCCATTGTTCGAACGTTGCGTCGAGGTACTTGAATTCCAAGCCGGGGCCGAAGAGCCGCGCCAAGTCCTCGGGGGACGTGCCTTTGGTCGACTCGTAGATGAAGTCAAGGAGCAGGTACTGCCATATGATGATGGCACTTTCCCGCAAGACATACCGCTTCCGGCTTAGCGGTTGATTCTTACCTTTTGGTTGGACATAAGCTGCGTGCTGGGGAATATTCCTGACCTCCCAGATCGTGCCGATTCCACGGAAGTTGAGCAGCAATGCCCAGGCACGAGAAAGACGAGCAGGCAGACCTGCAGACGGACCGTACAGATTTGCCCGTAGCAGATCAGTTTGGTCTAAATTCGTGATCAGGAGAAGATTGAGGCATTGCAGAGCAGCCACAGTTGCCTGGCCCGCTGCAACACCTTTCAGGAATTGACTCGTCGACAGAGAGGGTACCCGAAGAGAGAATCGGTATAGGATATAAAGAAGGCATGGCGCCCAGGCCCATCGAACAGCGGATGACCTTTGAGTTGCTATGATGAGAAAGGCGGTTGGCACAGTAAAAGATAGGTAAAGTGCTAGCTCATAGGCAATGGTGAGCCACAACGGGTTCGTCATTAGGGAATCCATTGTGTAACAATCCCCTAGTGAGAAATGGACTGCAAGAAGAAGGTAATATAGGGATCAAGTAACTCCATTGTATGGACTACATAATATACTTGTGCTTTTTCTCTTTCTGTACGATGCAAGGGATACGCATACGAGCCATTGACTCGGGAACTCATGTCACCTATTTACCTCTTTCCACTTATAGGTAGTACAGAATCTTACTAGTAGCTTTTTCTCCGTACAACACACTGCAGTAGAGACTGACACAGTACATGATCATTTGCCTAAGTTTGCATCGTGCTTCAGATGGCGTAGTTCCAGCCAATCTCGGCACCCAGCTTACAAGCCAATGAATGCAGATTTCACTCAGCTGAGCTGGGGTGCGGATCGAAGAGGGCTAGACTAAAGAATTAGACGTGGCTTTTCTGTGAAGCAGGGTAATTGGCCTTGATAGTGCCTGAGGATTCCACCTTGTGTCAGAGCTTGTCCTCCTTCATAGCCATATGTGAAGACATGGAGTTTTGCTGCTGTCAGGATTCAGAAGTAAGATGTGGATCACGCTGATCAAAAAGCACTTAATTTCTTTTAGCATATAGTGTCCACATCTTAGGATGATATTAATATGTTATTGTCTCTAGACCCTAATAGGGATGAGTTTAACTGATTTAATTACCACCAACCCTTTCTTGCGAATGATCATCATGTACTCCGTACGGAGTACTCTCTATCTCTCGTGATATCCAGCTGAAAAGCAAAATAGGATAGTTTATGACCTGTACGGAGTATGCAGAGTACACTATATAAAGCTTCATGCAGTTTGCATCAAAACACATACGTCTGATTCGAGATCTGCGAGGGATCGACATATTTGTATACCAAATTAAGGGAACTTGTCAAATGTCACATATGGCACCTCTAGGCCCCATATAATTACCTTAGTTTTTATGTGGTCTAGTGGTAAAATATGCTGTATTTTCTCCCAAAAAATAATATCGGTTTACGGCAATGGAATACAAAGAAAGATAAAGTAAGCGAAACGAGGTCGGAAATTAAAAACAAGTGAATAAAACACATCCAACTCAACTCGGTAGGATAACATACGAAAATCATGAGCACCCAGGAGATATGCTGCCCAGTCAATCAGGGAAATCAGGTTAAAGAGGGACTTGCTAGACTTCATGGTCTATGTGAAGATGGCGAGTGCGATGCCATAAGGGCTCCCAGCGACCGCTCTCCTTACCCTCTATCTTCTCTCGACCACAATCCCCTCGGAATGAACGTCACCTTTTTGCTGTTCTTTCAGACTACGCAGTTCGAGAAAAGCATCCGTGTCCTAGAAGATGGCATCAAACTGCTGCTGACGGTCCACCCCTTCCTCGCAGGGGACGTGACTCGCCGGACGGTCAACCAAGGGCAGTATACTTGGCAGATCGAACCGGAAGCCCCAGAGTCGCTTGTCCAGTTTCCTATGCTTCAGACACAACATTCCCAGGCCGAGTCGATTAGGGAACTCCAATCGAAATGCCTCCTAACGGGCGCTGAGGAGCAGGTAATCATAAGTCGGCTGGCCCCGTTGCCCGTCGACATGGATATTTCGTTGCCGCGAAGGCCGATTCTACGCTTTCAAGCAAATGTAATGTACGATGGGATCATTCTCGCCATGACGTTTCATCATTCTGCAATGGATGGCGCAGGCGCTGCGCGAGTCTTGGGCCTTCTAGCCGATTGCTGCAGGGACCCGACCGTGACGTCTTCTGCAAGTGTGCTTCCAGACAGGCAGTTACGATCAGAGATTGGGCGTCTTGTCTCAGAAAGCAGTTCTGATTCTTCGAGGGCGGATTTCAGCCAGCACTATTGCGGCCTCGGAGACTGGGCAGCACTACTCACAGAGAATTGGTCGGGGTTCCTCCGGGCGAGAGCCCCCGAGCTTGTAACCTGGCGAGTGACGATTCCCGGTTCTAAGATCGAATATTTGAAGAGAGCTTGCAATACTCTGGTAAAGGGACAAACACCTGCCCAGGCTGATGGTAGGCCGAACCCGGAGTTCCTGTCTAGTAACGACATTGTGAGCGCCCTGATGGCCATGATACTTCGACAAGCGGAACAATTGGCGGGTAAATCCACCGAACTGTCACTCGCGGTGGACATGCGCGGCAATTTCAAAACACCAGCCTTTGACGACTATCTGGGAAACATGGTGCTATTGACATACACGCCAATCCACGCTGGGAAGAACGAGGCTCCGGTTGATGGCGCAGATTCTTTGGTAGAATTGCATCAAAAGTGCCTGGAGGAGCTCATGCAGATTGCAGCTCGTATACGCCAGAGCCTTCTGGCAGTCAACGCAGACTACATCCAAGACGCTCTATCCCATCTCCACTCGCAGACCGACTGGGCGGAGATCGGATTCCGGGGAGTTCCCATCCCCTTGAGCAGCTTCAGGAATTTTGGAATCTTCGATCTGGATTTTGGGGAGAGTCTGGGAGCGCAACCCTGTGGGTTTCAACTGAATTTGCCTGTCTTGGGGGGAATGTGTTTTATCCTTCCAAAGCGTCAGGATGGTCTGGCGGGTACGGAGCCGTGGGACTTGCATCTGACTCTGAATCGTGGCGATCAGTCCCTGTTAGCAAAGGATCCCTTATTTTGCTGGGCTACAGGAGGGCAACCATAGGAGTAACTTATGCACAACAAGATGTGCCGCAGTAGAGAATCTCGAATGATTGACCTTTCTATCCTTGCGCCGTACGTTCTGGAGCAGTCTCGCAATGGAAATTTCATAAGTGATGAATGGTAGACATAGGATGTCTCATATATTAATATTTTCTACCATGTCTTGAGTATCAAAGCAAATTCCAGCAACAGCCTTTTAATTGAAAGGGGAAACAAAGAAGTATAACGAAGATTTACGGACAATACCAACTGTGCCAACACCGCACAATTTACCAATGCCAAAACTCTCCAACCATGTATCGAACCAAACCACTCACAGGGAACCCGACACAAAAAGCAGCTCAACAAAGCAAGCGAGAACATTCCAAATCCCCAGCGCAAAATTCCGCCGATGAACCTTGCCACCACTACTCGGATCCTTCACATCAAAGAGATACAGCTGCTCGCCGAGGGACGCCGTCCATACCCCCAGCCACGAGAACCAGAGCCAAGCGGACCCGCTGGTATAAAGAATCCAAGGGATCACCAGAATCACAGCAAGAGCCTGTAGCAGAAGCAATCCGCGCACATGGCTTCCCGCCAGGACGTACGACGAATTTACGTTGAGCTTACAGTCGTCCTTGATATCCTGGTAGCTGTAGGCGGTGTTGAAGTAGATGGTCCACAAAAACAGGAAGACGCAGAGCGGGAGACACTGCATGCCCAGTTCCTTCAAGGATATACCGTCTGCGTAGACGGAGGCCCAGGCTGGGAGGATGGTGAGGGCGCTGCTTGCACCGAGAATGTACTGTGGGTAGACGCCCAGCTTACGACTTGTGGGCCGCTTGCCGAAGGGATACAAGACGATACCGGTTGTGAGGGGGAGCATGAATGTCCATCTAGAGAATGAGTCGGGTTGTCAGTTTTCAATCAACAGGATGGTTGTTTTTATGATGGGGAGGATACACGTACAAATTCTGCCCGCTCACCATGCGGTTCATCAGCCAGACCGAGGCCACATACTGGACTAGCATCCAGATGAGGGCAGCTCTGGTGGAAAGCCGACCGGAGGCAAGGGGACGGTTCTTGGTACGGGCGACATGGGCATCGATATCGCGGTCGATCCAGTCGTTCCATACCATTCCCGCGCCGCTCAGCAGATACGTGTACATGAAGGCCAGTCCTGCGCGGCCAAGTACGAAGTCCAGGGGAACGGGGTCGCCATCGGCGTGTCGTGAGGCTGCTGCAAGGAAGATAGACCAGACTGGATGTAATTGTTAGTGTGATAGTAGTATATTGAAGGGGTCTCAATTACCTCCAGGGAATATAGCAAATAAACAGTTGTATTTGTCAAATCGGGAGACATCAATGAGGTTGCGAACCAGATGTGCCGTAGACTGAGAGCTAGCCATCATGACGGATTGATCAATAATCAAGTCTGGTCTCGAAGGATCAAACACTGCGTGATCATAACCTTTGGAGGCGACAAGACCATAGATAAATGGGCTGAGATGTGCCCAATACATGCACACGCTAGAGAAATGGCTGATGTGCTGGACTACAAGATCGCTGTAGCAATACATCGTACTATGATATGTAAACAATACCCCATACACGAGGTTTGAATTTTGCAGATCATGTAGATCATCTTCATGCCCGATGCAGGTGATCTATCAAATCGTTAGAATGAGCTAAGGTTTCTGCCAAATGTCAGATATGGCGCCTCTAGGACCCATATAATTACCTTAGTTTTTATGTGATCTAGTGGTAAAATATGCTGTATTTTTTTCCCACAGTTTCTCCCATTTTGACAGCCACTACGCAACTGATTTTAAATACAATATTTGGGCCACAATAGTCACTAGGCATAGACCTGTCACTAGAGGAAACAAAGTCTTTTTACCAGACTGGCTGAATTGAATCCAGCCAGGGCCAGACCGCGCGGGTGGTTCTACAAAATCCAAGATAATACCACCCGCAATTCCTCGGGAGGCCCAGTCGGCCGGCTTATCGCCAGCGTAGGGCAAGAGATAGCGTCCTCGGATCCGGTTCATGAGCCCTTCCCGCGCATGGAGACGCATGGCAGATCGAGCGGCCATGGCCGTCGGCCCTAGTCGACGAAGGCGATTTTCGACAAATCTAGCCAGAACCTCCGGTAGATCATCGGTTTCTGATTTATAGTCTTTTTCACAAGCGTACAGCCAAGTGTGCAAACTGTTGCTGAGCTGAGCTGCGTCCTCGATAGCGCAGTTGGCACCCTGTCCGATATGCGGTGCGAACTGCATGGGTGGGCCTGTCAGTCAATTTGCGCAACAAACCAAGAGTGATATTGGGCTGACCTTATGCATGCTGTCTCCAATGCAGATGATGTTTCTCCAGTGCCATTTTCCGAGTAAACCTTCTTCCAATGGTGTCATTTGGAAGACCTCACATTGAGTCCAGACCTGACCGAATTTGACATCTCTCCAGACCGGCTCGTGTCTCAGTCTCTCGCAATGAGCTCGGGCATCTTCGCGGCTGAAGTGGGGCAGGCTTTTCTGTGATCCATCATAGATGTACTCCTTCTCCAGCTTGATAAAGAGGAACCAATAGATCCTGCCATTCTGTCCGATCACACTAAGGATACTCCACCCGTCATTGTAACAGGTAATTTGCTCCCCGGGGTCCAATTGATCGACCTGTGACGAGATTCCAAAGATGCAGGCATAGTTGATCGTAAACGCTAAAAATCAATGAATTAGCATTCCAAAATTAAAAAGAGCGATAAAAAAAAAACAAGAAAAGAATACAAGCCACATCGAAGTATACCTTTGTTTTCACCCCCAAAGATGTCCTCATGCGAGGCATTGGCCAATCGGCACATCTCCGCTCGTACCCGACTGTGCACTCCATCTGCTCCGACGACAAGATCGCCCTGATAGGTGTGTCCGTTGCTCGTTCTCACCATGACGCCACCCGGAGAGGTCTCAATGCTCTCGACCTTGCGATCTAGTTTCAGTCGGCTGGATTGGACTGATTCAGTCGCCAAAATCTGCAGTAACTTCTGCCGATCCAAGAATGCAAGTGGATAGCCAAACCTTTTCACATTAGTCTGGATCAGCAAGTGGACATTGTATATGGACGCACCGCTGCTGTATCAGTGCAGGATATTGACTTGTAAAGCCAAACCCATCGGGGTAGGTTACATGTGCCTTCACCAAAGGCTCGACCAGTTCCTCAATTTGGTCGTATAGCCCAAGCTGTTCCAGGATCCGACCGCCATTGGGCATAATACCAATGGATGCGCCTTCCTGGGGGGCAATTTCCTTCTTCTTCTCTAGGATGACATAGTCAATCTTGGCCTTTTCCAAGCAGTGGGCGAGGGAGAGGCCAGCGATGGATCCTCCGACAATGATGACTTTCATGATGCTCTCAATGGCAGAAGGGAATGGGTAGGTAACTACGGAGTAAACATACAAACCTTGAGTGTCATATAAATAAATCAATTTACAACTGATACCTACATCGTATGTAACAAAAAACCAATGCAGTTGCCAGATCAGGGTTTTATCGCAATACTGTATCGTGCAACCAACCCCTTCTCTCCATTATACCTCATATCTGCTAGCCAGAAATATTTACTTTAAACTTTTCATGCAAAATGATATTTTGTGTTCGAGGCTAGTCAATTGGACCCACTTAAAAGGGTTGGCGATCGGACCGGGGCTGATCGAGACACCTTATTATTCCCCTTGGATATAGTTCAGCCCACATCAATTCTCTAGATCCTCCATCGATCTAGATTTTGTGCTCCTCGCCATCTATTACCCGATCTGTAGAAAAGGACCCACTTTAGCATCACCATGCATGGTCTTGTCGATCACATAGCTTTCCTCGATTGGCCCCGGTGCTCCTGCCGACGAATATACCAAAGTAACGCCACATAGGAAATATCCAGCGAGAAACACATTATACCATGCCAGGCGACGAAAGGGTGACTGATCCAGTCAAACTCGTGCGGCCAATGTGTTTCTCGTATATGCAGGAAGATGCTACCGATATACGAGCCCAGAAATCTCGAAATCCTGCCAGCCACGATCCAAATTAGTCAGCTGGGATCCCTGAAGCAAGACGCACAAGGCAAAAAAAAAAAAAAAAGAACATACCAGATTGTATACGATGCACCCCTACTTGACCCCCGACTCATGAGCTGGCACACTGCACCGGCAGTCAATAGCTCAAAGCACAGAAAGGCGCCCCAGTTGGCCGCCTTTGCAACTCCCACCGTCGCAGCCAATGCTAGATGGCCCGCTGTAAAGGCCACGATCGCCACAGGGAAGATCACCGGAAGACTCTGCCGGACGAGCGGGGCATGCTGCCATTCATTGGGAGCGAACTTGATGGCAGTGTACATGAGATAGAGGTTCAGGACCATCCATGTTGTGAGGACGGCTCTCTCGACGGGGTTCTGAGAAGGGTAGACGACGGTGTAGACGAATTCCCACGCAAAATTGCAACATAGTGGTAGGATGGCCATGCCATAGGTTCGGTCTTTGCGCGATTGGTATATCATGGCCAGGTAGTTGATTGACCATCCCAATCCTTGGGCCAACAGAGCCCGGTCTGCTATCCATGCAACATCCTTGTATTCGGGAGGCGCCGATGAGATGTCCGACCACCCGTCCATGGTAGTAGCTTTTTTTGTAAAATTTTGTAAGAAATGAAGCAAGAAATGGAAGGAAAAAAGTCAGTATGAGGATGGTGATACGACGTTATCTGGATTTGCTGTCGAAAAAGATCACGGTCGAAACGGATGTCAGAGAGAATAAATACAGTCTACTAGTGTCTGGTAGGCCGGCCGGGGTTATAGTTGGATCTGTCAAAATACGACATACCGAAATACAGTCCCCCACTCACCCCTTTTCCCCCCTGCAAGACTGCAAAATGGCATATACAGCTGTGGGCTAGTCTTTTCCAGTTTCACAATGATCCAGATCAATGACCTGTCTTGGGTAATACTGTAGACTCCAAGAATTGTATTATTCATGAACACTAAGACTGAACAATTTTGCATCTACTCCGCAGGTAATTTAGTATTTCTATTCTTCATTGATCAATTCTTCAGTTTTCGGGAATAGTTCCTGATATCAAAAGTTCCATAATTTTCTCTCGATCACATCTTTCTAGTCAATACGTCGAGCTCATCTCCCACCAGCGTGCGTCTCCGGACTTCTATGCTTGCCCGAGGGTCACGGAATGCCGCGAACCCACTTGTAATCACATCATGCGGGATATCCTTCACCAGCCTCCATTCATACTTCAGCAACATATGGCAGAGCGCTATCTTGATCTCGGTAGCAGCAAAGAATCGACCAGGACAGGCATACTTCCCATACCCAAACCCAAGGTGATTTTGGCCCGTCGTCGTGAACGGTGCCCGGGCCTTGTCGGCTCCTTCACGCATTCTAAAGTACCGGTACCCATCGAAGATCTCGGGATCAGGATAGATGTTGGCATCCTTGGCGACATCGTTAGTCACCAAAACAGGTGTTCCTGTGGGAATCTCAGCTCCATTGGTCAGCTTGATATTCTGCCGAGTAAAGCGCGAAAATGCACCTAAGATAAATCGTGAGCATATGCATACAGATTGGATAGCTGAGGATGCATACCGGTAGTGACTGGATGTAGTCGCTGGCTCTCTTTCAAAACACTATCAAGGAGCTTTAATTGGTTCAGTGTCGAGGATCGCCATCCATTCTCCCCGAGGACGGAAATAATCTCGTCACGCAGGTCCTGAATCAAGCCTGGCTGATCGCATAGGTTGATAAGCACCTTGACCAAGAGATCGGCGCTGGAGTGGATGGACGCATTCGCCAGTCTTAGCTGCACCATGGTCGCATTATACTTATTGCCGTTGGCAAAAGCGTCGACCCAGGCAACGCTGGAGAATTTCTCAGTGGACGGATTCTTTCTTGATTTTTCCAAAGCAGAGTCGATCAGTGTCCGTGCAGTTTTGATCTCTCGTCGGAGTTTCTGGCATGGAGGGAGAACCCAGTGAAGGACGGGTCGAAGCACAACAGGGCACTTGTGGAGCGCTAGCATGGCGTTGTGCCGAATCAGGGTGAAGTTGATCACTGTCTCCAACCAGACTGGGTCACGGCACAACGGTTCGCCCACGAAGACAAGAGATGAGACTTTGGCGATCAACCCCAGCATGCTGGGAAGCAGTGCCACCTCGTGCCAGTCTACATTGAGATTAATTGAGATTTTTTCGGGGATTCCTTCGGGAGGCGTGCTTTGACCCACCTGATGAATCTGTCCAGGTATCTACCATAGCCGCCGACACTTCATCCGAGAGGGGAGACAGCAATTGTTCTATAGAGACAGGAGTCAGTAGATGGGCAGACCGTAAGAGGGAAAAGGAATTACCTAGTTCGCGGGTGATGACGGAAATCACATCGCGAAGAACCGTATTGTGAAAATTTCCCAGAAACATCGACTCGAAACCGGGTATCTCCGCCATAAAATCCTTGGACAAGTAAGCGCTTGCTCTTCTACCACCACTCACACTGCACTCACCTCGACCATCGACTTGTAATGGTCCAACAGCTTTTCATCTTTAAATTCCTCGATGAAGGCCCCAGACACTACTAATTTTGGTCCCAGATCGGTGACCACTCTGAAGATGGGCGACTGTGGTATCGTTTAGTCTCCATTCACTTGCTACTGTTGCTTATAGAACATACCTGTGCAAACCCAGCTTGCAGATACTCGGGACCGTTCTGCTGAAACCTTCTTTGGGCGAAGACATTGACAATTTCCCAGGGTTTTCGAGGATTGACGCTGGGGAACTCGTCCAATTGGTCGCCGAGTAGTGTCAGTCGAATGAAATGCAGGCCTGCAAGCACAAGGACACAAGTCAGCAATATAGCCCCCATGGAAGCATCTTCGAGCCTGATCATAGTGAGAATGCTCTAAAAACAAAAACTGCGTGCAAGGACACTAGAAAGTGGCCCGTCTACGTTCGTGGAATAACAGTAGGGAATTTAATCCCCTGGTTTCTTTGTTGCACGATTCCTACCCGGCAGCAAGGGATACCCCGGAGGTTGATGGCATTCGTGCTTGATTTTGCTTTTTCTAATAAAACCACTATTTTGTAATGGTGGTGTATATTGTATAGTACTTTTGCTCCTATTTTACTCTACAGTAGAACAAAAAAATTGCTTTTGGCTACACTCATAACGCTAATGCAACCACATCAATAACATACATCTAACGCCACACGATGTAGGTTCGTACGATGTTTCCGGATTCTATGATGTATCATGCAGAGAAATCACCGCACTCTCAGCTCGGCAAAACCTGCTTTTTTGACAATGTGCATTGTTGTCATCTTAGCAAGGATGTATTCGAAGCTCTCCCATTATTAAACCCACTTTATTAATTCCTTGGTTTTTTGGTTTATTGCTTCTGCTTTACTACAGCAGTGACTACAGGGTGGCTTTGAGATCGCAATTAGGCAGTTATCTCTCTCTCACGTGAACTTTACAGCGTGTATTCTTAGAGCCTGAAGCTGGAAATCGCAGTAGAAGGGTTAATGATCACTTGGGTGGAGCGGCCCTGGAGGTGTAGCGAGATAGATGCAGACATAACACTCCAATACTAGAGCATCTTGATCCTAAGAGAATGGTAGTACTGTGGAACTATTTGCAAAATAAAACCAATTATATTGTTCCTCTGCTAGTTTCAAAAAGATACTGTCTCTAGATTTCTCCCGATCACGATCTCCAGATCGGCCCTCTGCATGACGGGCTCCACATGCCAAAATCTTGCTCAATCCTCATGATAAATTCTAATATCAACCACAGAGGATCCTTGCATTCGATTAAGTCCGCATAGTCAGACACTGGTCACAAAATAATCTCCTCTTTCCGTCGACGGACGTAGATTCTAGACGTCGGATCTGGAAACAGATGAATGCCCTGGCTCCACACACTCGGTGACTGCCCACCCCTGTATTCGAGGTCATACTTGAGAAGGATATTGCATAGGGCAGCTTTGATCTGGGCTGCGGCGAAAAACCGCCCGGGACAAGCATGCTTCCCGTATCCGAACCCCATGTGATCCGGCGTCGAGGACACCAGTTGGTGCTGGCCCTCTTGCCCTGATACCTGTCGTAGTTTATGGAATCGGTAGCCGTCGTATTGCTGGGGATCAGGGTAAATCGCAGAGTCCCACATGTTGTGGGCAGAGACCATGAGAGTTGTGCCTCGGGGGATACGAAGACCATCAGACAGGTCCATATCCCCTTGCGCAATACGTCCCATGGATACTGTCAAAGCGCACCTGGATTAGCTTTTTTCATGACCAAATTGGGGGCAGGGAGAAGGGCCCACTCACGCAATCTGTTTGGCGCCAGGCGTTGGCTTTCCTTCAGTGCGCTGTCCATTAGTTTGAGCTGGTACAAGCCAGCCCTGGTCCACCCCTCTTTACCTAGAACAGATACAGCTTCTGCCCGGATATCTTGTACCAACTCCGGATGACTGCAAAGATCCACGAGCACTTGTGTCAAGAGATTGGAGGTTCCATGGATAGCAGCGAACGAGAGCAGCAGCTGTGCAGCCACGGCATCATACGGTTGGTCGCCATAAGAATCCTCTAGCCAATCAATGATATCCCCACGAGACAGTGGAGGCTTCTCCTGAGCGACTCGGTTGGCTCTCTCGGCCCGTCTCTCGGCCACCAAGGGCTCCAGGATCTCTCGTGCCTCGACAATCTGAGCTTGCAACGTTTGGCATGCGGGCAAAAACCGTGCCACTATGGGTCGTAGGAAGCTGGGCCAAAAGTGGAGTGCCTGTGCTGCCCCATAGACGTTGTGCGTGTAGGTGATGATAATGTTGTGCCACTTGGGATCCCGACATCTTACTTGCCCTATAAAGGCCTTGGACGCCATCTGTGCGACAAGCTTGAGAGCTGTTTGACTTACGCTGACCTCGTGCCACTCTTTTATCACAATCGAGGAAATCGTTAGCATTTATAAAAGGAGATCTGCCAATCATTTAGTTTGGAGCTCACCGGAGTCATCGGTCCAGGTTGCGGATAGTGCCTCTGTAACCTCCGCAGACAAGTCCTCTGTCATATATGCTACTCAGAGAAGTAAGATTAGCCACGGAATGGGTTGCACAAGAGTCAAGTCGGAGGATAGAAATACCCAGTGCTTGTGTGAGGTTGGTCTTCAGGATCGTGTTCAACGGGTTCTTGGGATCCAGGATCAACTTGAACGGCTCGAAACCTGGGATGTTGGGGTGAAACTCCTAAACAGCGGAGGCTTATTAATGACAACTAGGAAGTAATTGGACATGGAACAAGACGAACCGATGCAATGAAATGGTCCAGGCTGAGTCTGTCATCGCCGCGAACCTCTCGAGCGTATTGAGGTGACAAGACCAGCAAGGGCCCATTATCAGTGAGAATGCGAAAGGCATCAGGAGACTGGCATGACAAGAGATGTTCAGCATTATATTCTAAATAATGTAGTTTGTCTCATATAGACCTTTTCAAAGCCGTTCTTTAGAAGGCGTGCCGCGTCTGAGCGAAATCGCTTCTTCGCCGTGGTGCGAAAGATATCCCAAGGTCTTCCACCATTGATTACCGTCAAGGTTGATGGGAAAGGGCGTGGTGAGACAAAGAAAAGCGTCAAAAGCCCCAGGAACGAGATGGCCACTGGCCAGACCCAGTTGAAACCCAGAGATACGTTGTCCATGTTGTCTCAAGATTGTTGGGTTCAGGTATCAGCTACTATTATTACGCTTAGAGTGAGCAGTAAAAGAAGGAAAAAGATACGAAGATATCTGAACGTTCCTACTCCACTCCTCTTCTTACAGGGATTACTCTTGGATTGACGCATACATACAATATATGCATGTAGGAACCTGACATGTTCTTTAGTGTCATTGTTTTTCACCGCTGCTCAAAGCCAAATCTGGCTAGTTTGTGGCTGCTGTATTGAATGCAGGTGATGCTTCCCAAATAGGATAGCTAGTCCGTGATCTATCTATGTCCAGAAAGTGGTCTATAGGTCGATTTTCGTCATTCATTCAATAGTTGTAATGCTGACGGGATGGTGGCAGTAGACAAGGCAACCTGCGTTTTCCATATCTATGTACATACTCTCGGTATAGCTACACCAGCCCGACTACCAATTATTTTAATCTCACGTTTCACACTTCCCTCAACATAAACTCGCAATGAAAACAACAGAGCCTGTTGCCATTATTGGTACAGGATGCCGCTTCCCTGGTGGGGCTTCCTCTCCTTCGAAACTGTGGGAACTTCTCCAAAACCCCCGTGATATTGCGCGCAAAGTTCCGGCCAACCGATTCAATATCAATGCCTTTTATCATCCAGATGGAGACCACCATGGCACAACAAACGTCCAGGAATCCTACTTCTTGGACGAGGATATTAAAGCCTTTGATGCGGCTTTCTTCAATATCTCGCCAACAGAAGCGGTGGCAATGGATCCGCAACAGCGGTTGCTCCTAGAGACCGTGTATGAGTCGCTTGATGCGGCGGGGTTACGAGTAGACGCACTGCAGCACTCAAAGACTGGAGTGTTCTGTGGTACCCTTCGCAACGACTACAATCAGATCCAGGCCATGGATCCCCAGGCATTCCCAGCGTATATGGTCACGGGCAACTCGCCGTCAATCATGGCTAATCGTATTTCTTACTACTTTGACTGGCAAGGCCCTTCCATGGCAGTTGACACTGGATGTTCTTCAAGTCTACTGGCTGTTCATCTCGGAATTGAAGCTTTGCAGAACGATGACTGTTCCATGGCGGTGGCAGTAGGGAGCAATCTGATCCTGTCGCCCAATGCCTATATCGCAGACTCTAAAACACGGATGCTGTCCCCTACCGGCCGGAGTAGAATGTGGGACAGCAAAGCTGACGGCTACGCACGTGGTGAAGGAGTGGCTTCGGTGGTTCTGAAACGACTGCAGGATGCAATCAGAGATGGGGATCCTATCGAGTGCGTGATCCGTGCCTCCGGGGCAAATTCGGATGGGCGAACAATGGGGATCACGATGCCTAATTCGAAGGCACAGCAGTCATTGATCCTCGCTACCTATGCACGCGCGGGGCTATTTCCCCAAGACAGGCCCGCAGATCGGTGCCAGTATTTCGAGGCCCATGGGACCGGGACTCAGGCTGGAGATCCCCAGGAAGCAGCCGCAATCAACTCAAGCTTCTTTGGGCCTGAATCGGTTCCAGACCCGACCAGTCGACTGTATGTGGGATCAATCAAGACCATAATTGGACATACAGAGGCCACTGCTGGACTGGCGGGGTTGATCAAGGCTTCTCTGTCGCTGCAACACGGGATGATTGCTCCCAATCTCCTGATGAAGCAGCTCAATCCAAAGATAAAACCATTTGCCGCTCAGCTATGTGTTCCCACAGAGTGCATCCCGTGGCCTGCAGTTCCAGATGGCTGTCCTCGACGAGCTTCGGTGAACTCCTTCGGCTTTGGGGGTGCCAATGTGCATGTGGTCCTAGAAAGCTACACTCGCCGGGAGCTCAGCCTGTCCCACAACATGCCTTCCAGTGTGCCCTTTGTCTTCTCTGCTGCCTCTGAGCGGACACTCACATTTGTTATGGAGTCCTACGCGACATTCCTCCGAGAACACGCAACAGTCAGTCTTGTTGATCTGGCAGTGTCCTTGTGGACTCGACGTTCCACTCATCGCCACCGCCTGGTGCTAATGGCGCACTCGGTACGGGAACTGCAAGATCAGATCGATACCGAACTCAGTCGAAGGGCCACGAGTAAACCCACCTCCATCGTCTCCAGGTTCAGCAGTCGTCCCAAGCGTGTTATGGGCATCTTTACGGGTCAAGGAGTCCAGTGGCCGCAAATGGGGCTTGATCTGGTTGAGGCAAGTCCCTCAATTCGACAATGGATGGCCGATATGGAGGAAGCTCTGGATAAACTCCCTCTGGACCTTCGTCCACAATTTTCTCTTCTCGAGGAATTGTCACGACCGGCATCTTCTTCGCGCGTAAACGAGGGCCTTCTCTCTCTCCCCTTACGGACAGCGTTGCAAATCATACAAGTCAACATCCTTCGTGCGGTAGGAATTGAACTTACCGTTGTTGTCGGCCACTCTTCTGGGGAGATTGTAGCAGCCTATGCTGCGGGTGTGTTGACGGCTTCGGATGCAATCCGCATTGCATACCTTCGGGGAAGAGCCATTGATGAGTCACGCGATCCGACAGGCCGGATGATGGCTGTCAATCTGACATGGCAACAGGCACAGACCATTTGCGCTTTAGAAACCTATTCCGGACGCATCAGCGTTGCCGCAGCTAATTCGCCGTCCAGCGTCACCTTATCCGGTGACGCAGAGTGCCTGCGTGAGTTGGAATGGCTGCTGAAGAGCCTGGGCCTCACTCCGCGTATGCTTCGAGTAGATACCGCATATCACTCTCCCCATATGAAGCCGTGCGCAGACCCATATCGCAAGGCAATGCAAGCCTATCCTGCCACGTTGACAGCGTCTGTCGCGCGCTGGTACTCCAGCGTCTACTCCGGGGAGGTCATGACTGGGCATGACCAGAAAGAACTGATGGCGGAGTACTGGGTCGAGAATATGCTGCGTCCTGTCCAGTTCTCCCAGGCGCTGGAGGCCGCCGTACGAGAGGCTGGACCACCAGATCTCATTGTTGAGATCGGACCACATCCGACACTGAGAGGGCCCGTCCTACAAACGCTGTCTAAAATGCACTCGGGTCACTCAGCAATTCCTTACCTTGCCCTTGCTGAGAGAGGAAAGCTCGGCCTCGATACTTGGGCAGCGGCCCTGGGATCGTCCTGGGCGCACCTCGGCCCCAATGTCGTCCGCCTCACAAACTATATCTCACTCTTTGATCAAGAGAAGTCACCTGTGCTGGTAGATGCGCTACCATTCTACCCTTTCGACCACTCTCAGACTTACTGGGCGCAGTCGCGAATGTCATTGAAATACAGCCATCGTGTTGCACCTCCGAACGCACTTCTCGGTGCTCTTAGTCCGGATAACGGAACAGGAGAGTTCCGTTGGCGAAACTACCTGCGGCCAGAGGAGCTACCCTGGTTGGCTGACCGTCGTGCCGGACCGAGACCTGTTTTCCCTGAGACTGGATATATATCGATGGCGCTGGAGGCAGGCGTGATGGTGGCACAGACCCAGGGACTGCGCTTGCTGAATGTCAAAGATTTGGCCGTCCACTCCCAACTGCCCATCCAGAACGATGCCATCGGCACGGAGGTTCTTGTCACCGTGAGTGGTATTCACTCACATGATGGAGTAATTACTGCTTTGTTCTGTTGCGAAGCTGCTGTATCTGGAGAGCTCGTTCAGTGTGCAACAGCCAAGATGATCATGCATCCAGGGGATCCAGAAAGTGCTCTCCTACCACCACAAGACCAGATAGCTCCGGCCTTAGGACCCGTGGACATCACTGAGTTCTATGACAGCCTGAATCGTGCCGACTATCACTACACTGGCTCGTTCGCTGCGCTAACAGGACTCCGAAAAAGGCAAGATCTCGCCGTCGGAACTGTGCTCGTTCCCTCTCCCGATTCTGATGAGCCTATGACTCTTCACCCAGCCATTTTAGAGCTTGCAGTTCAAACAATGATTGCCGCGATTGGCGGGCCCGAAGAGACGCTGCTGACGGGCCCATTCCTGTCCAAAAATATCGAGAGTACCTGGGTCAACCCCGTGTTATGTGCCTCTGGTTGGCAGGGAAAGGAAATGACGATAGCAAGCTATCTGACACATGTCGATGGGGATCGGATTTGCGGTGATATTGACATCTTTACTATGAATGGGGAAAAGGCCATCCAGCTCGAAGGTGTTTCTCTCGTATGTCAGCCATCTAGGAATGCACCGAACGATACGCAGGTCCTTTCCCAGACCGAGTGGGGACCGCTGGAGCCCACTCTGAAGAAGACATCACACCTATTGCCCGCAGTTATTTCACAGCTACACTCTCTCCGAGAAGAGCTTGCGCTACTGTATCTCAAGCAGGCCAGCAATGGACTGACGAACTCGGAGCGAAGCGGATTGGATTGTGATGGTACTCATCTGCTTACATGGATGAGTCAATGCATTGCGAATGCTCCCCAAGCTTCAGATCCCATAGACGCATCTGAATGGTTGGACCAGAAAATTGAGGACTTGGCAGCTCGACCGAGCCCATCAATAAAGGACCCTGGTCTCTCGGCGATTGCTGCGGTGGGCCAGCGCCTACCTTGCGTCCTGCGTGAATCGGGTCTTCAGAGAGAGGGTTGGCCGTTCGTCGACGAGGAAAGTCAATATTTGAAGGATGACGCGCAAGTCTCGTACCTAGAAGACGAGCTCGTATCTGTCGTCAGCCAAACGTGTTTCCGCTTCCCACAGATGAACATCCTCCAGATCGGCCAATTTGGAGGTCATGTTCACTCTGGATTAAAGAAGATGGGTCGGACCTACAGATCATTCACCCATGCGGGAACCTCCGTTTCTGGCTTGCGATTGGCCGGGGACCACCTTGAGCAATCTGCCGAGGTATCGCACAAAACCTTGGACATCAATGAGGACCCTATCGAGCAGGGCTATCGGGAGCAATCCTACGACATGGTGCTAATAACAACTGCGGTATTTCTACAAGAGGCCGCAGTGGCCCATATCCGTCGCTTGCTCAAGCCTGGCGGATTCCTGGTCCTACTGGTGC